CCTTCCTTCCTCCTTCCTTCCCTTCCTTCCCTTCCTCCCCTCCTTCCTTCCCTTCCTCCCCTCCTTCCTTCCCTTCCTCCCCTCCTTCCTTCTCCCCCACCGTCCTCCCCACCTTCCTTCCCCTCCTTCCTCCCCAGGGACAGACGGTGTTTGCGGGGTGGCCGTCGGTCCCTCTTGCACCCAAGAGGGGTCCCATACGGAGCTCTTTCCGCTCTGTTCTACCAATATCTTTTCATAAATCCGTAAAACAAAACAATAATTCCCCTCTACGCCGAGGCTATTGTCTCTTTGTGCCATCAGGAGAAGACTGAGAACTCCATATGAGGTGGAACTTCACTGTGAGGGTGCCAGAGCCCTGGAACAGGCTGCCCAAGGAGGTTGTGGAGTCTCCTTCTCTGGAGATCTTCCAAAACCACCTGGATGCAGCCCTGTGCTCTGAGTGTCCCTGCTATAGCAGTGGGGTTGGACTAGGTGATCTCTAGGGGTCCCTTCCAATCTCAACCATCCTGGGATTCTGTGATCCTGTGAACTCCGAGCCGTGCTCTCTGTTACCCTCCAGATCCTGGGAAACGTCTCCGAGTTCCAGAGGGTCGTCAACGTGCTGCAGGAGGGCGTCGATTTTGACATCGACGTCAACGCGTCCGTCTTCGAAACCAACATTCGAGGTGAGGTGGGTTTTCTCCGTGGCGCCTCGGCCGGAGCCCCTTGGCGTGCGAGGCCCTGAATCGCACGCAGACGTCACGCCAAGTCGCGCTGAATTTCTGATGCGCTGTGACAGGACGTGCCCACACCAAGAAAACACCCAAAGGAAAACGTAGCTTCCCTTTTCTCCTTGCACGTCGCCTTTCTGCTTCCTTCCTCTGCTTAAGAGCACCAAGACGTGGCAGTTTCATTTTTCTGTTGCTAGGGTTCAAGCTTTGGACTAAATGTTCTACTGAAATGAGGTGGTACACGTGGAATTTACTGCTGTCTATCAAAATGACTCTTTTTATATGTACTCTTTTGGAATAGCAATTAATAATCGCATGTTTTAGTGCCTTAAAGTGAAACTTGTATTTTTTTGTTTTCTGCCTAACTAAAAGATACTGTCGAGGAATATACCTGTTAGTTAAGTTGGATTTGTTTCTCCTGACAAATATTGCCAAGCTGATTTCTGCAGTGCTGTAATTTCTGTGTGTATGGGATCTTAACTCATACTCATTATGTGAGAGTAGACTAGCCTGTGAAGAGCTCTAATAACTCCCTGCCTTTGTCAGTCACCAAGTTTCCTGACTCCTAGGTGCTTCTCCTAGCTATTTAAGCAGGTATGTGCTACATTAATTTACAGAAACGTATTTTGAAGCTGTCTGGAAGAAATGAAGCACGTTTTCTCTCCTAGAGGTCTGTGTTTGTTGTGCCATGAACTCTCTGACTGTCTGCAGGGTAGCAGGGCATAGATGATGCTAGAATGAAAGAAATCTTGATGCTAGAATGAAAGAAATCTTGATGCTAGAATGAAAGAAATCTTGATGCTAGAATGAAAGAAATCTATCCAGCTGCCCTTTGCAAACAGATAAAAAACTGAACTTTTCCATGGCTTATTGTATTAGGTTGTCAAAGACAAGCCAGCTAACTTTATCCCCCATGAACCTCTGTGTGCTGATAACAAAGCCATAATTTGGGCTTTTATTCTTTTCCTACATGTTTTAACGGGCTTCTTGTTGTGTCCTTGCAGTGGTGGGCGGTCTCCTCTCTGCTCACTTGCTGTCCAAGAAGGCTGGTGTCGAAGTAGAGGTGGGATGGCCCTGTGCTGGACCCCTCCTGAGGATGGCAGAGGAAGCTGCTCGCAAACTCCTGCCGGGTGAGCGTTTGCCTGCTCCGTGTTGCATGTGGCCTTGGTAAAGATGGCAGTGAGATTAAATTCAGAAAGCAGTCCTGCATTTCCTGAACTCAGAGAAAATTCAGGTTTCAGGAAAGCACTGTATAAGTGCACGATGCCAGTTGTAAATACACTTGCAGAACATGTTAGTGTGCTAGTTGCTTGTGTTGGACTGTTATATAAATAAATATAAAGCCAGGTGCTGCTAGCATGTTTTTTCCACTGTTCAGTACATGCAATGTACTGAGCAATGAGAATTATGTGCTCAGTGTTTGTACTTTGGCAATAGGTGTGTGTCTAGTTCCTTGATTGCCTGGCTTGTGCAGCAAGCAAAGCAGGGGGGTTGGACTAGATGATCTCCAGAGGTCCTTTCCAACCTCCACCATGCCGTGATGCTGTGAGATGCTGTGCTGGGGGACATGAGGCACCTGCACTAGCTCTCCAGTAGCTCTTGTGTGTAATTTGTGGTACCTCTTCTCTTTCCCCTTGCTGGATTGTGCTACATTTCCATTTTATTCTTTGCAATTATTGAGATTGCTGCAGGCCCAGCTCTTGCTGCCGTATGTGCAGCTGAAATATGAAGCATGGATTTGCTCAGTGCTGCCTTAAATACTGTCACAAATGGTGAAAACTCTTGTTTGAACCATAAACATGTTCTAGCTTTTCAGACCCCAACTGGGATGCCTTACGGAACAGTGAACTTGCTGCACGGAGTAAACCCTGGCGAGACCCCAGTTACCTGTACTGCTGGAATCGGCACATTTATAGTGGAATTTGCCACTTTAAGCCACCTTACTGGTGATCCAGTGTTTGAGGACGTTGCCAGGAAGGCCCTGAAGGCACTGTGGAAAAATCGTTCAGATATTGGGCTGGTGAGTGAGGCAGTTCCTTCCTTGATGGTGCTGCTGAAGCCCTGCAGCATGCATGTCTCTGCTTAGTGCCACAGTCCAACGTGATGCCATTGAAATGTCCACTGGCAGATGTAGGTGGGAAACAAGTGCCTTACACTGGATATTGCCATTTTTCTAACAGCAGCTGCACCAAATTAAATAAAAGGTTTGTCTAATGCCTGGCCTGACAGTGCCCTAAAGAATCCAACAAGAATACAACAAGAGGACGGGATATTCCCAAAAGCTGCGGCTTTGACATCTGGGGCTACCTAGGGCAAGAAACGGTGTCTCTCTCTTCATTATATTCTGATCATTTTTTTCTTCATTTAATTTTTCCAGTTGCTTTTTGATCAAATATAAAGGACAAGTGTTGCACATGTAAAACAGCAAAGATTTATTTGTAACTGTTCTTCATCTTTACCAAACCAGGCATAATTATTTCTTATAGTCTCCATCAGCAGGGTCTAATTCCAATCTTAAAAGAGTCCTAGGTGTAAAAGATCTGTTTAAATAAAAGCAGTTCTTTTGCCTCTGACCGTTCTTGATATCCCTTTTTTTTTTGTATCTGTATCTCTTTGTCCTGCTCTGTCTTCTTATAAGATGGGCATTAGGACCAGATGCATAATATTTAAGATATGTGTTTTTACAGTAGCATAATGGCATTTTGTTTTGACCCTTATTCCTCTTCAAGTCATGATCCACAGGCAGTACTATTGGTTGCTCTGCAACAGATGCATCTGTTGCCTCTGGGCAGGCAGCGAGTCACAAAAATTGCTTTTTTCATCTTTCCCTTCTTTGGGAAATACTGTTTTTAATGCTGAAGTTTGACCTAATCTAAGTAAGGCTTCTTATTTGTTTTCAGCTATCAGAATCCATTTGGATTAGTGAGCTACATTTGGAGGATGCCCACCTGAAATAAAATGGCACTACTGTGCGTGCTTTCCATTGACACTGCTATTTCATGCAGGACACCAGAAGCATTTTATGTTTAAATGCCCAGTTCATATATGGCTAGTTTATGACAAGCAAATGTGTGGCATATTTTTAAAAAACTGTAGTGAAAATCTAAATCTCTGCAAAATTGTTTCCCACTTCCATTGTGCTACAGCATAGAAGCCAGATACTGCACATGATATTTTTAAATCATTTAAATTTTATTGCTATTCTCTGTTGTCCTTTCTAGTGTGATAAGAAATCCAGCCAAGTTCTGCTTGTGGAATTGCAGCATGTGGGAGTCCTAAACCCAATACTGCATCAGCGTAGCATTTATATTACAAGCATAACATCTGTTTTGTACTACTCTGATGTTGATAAATATTTTCACGAAGTGAAGAAGATTGTATTTGTTATGAATATGTGAATTTATTCTTCTGAAGCTAGGCTAAGAGTTGTTTAATTTTTAAATATTTAATAAATAGTCTTTGTTTTTACTCTAATTCCCTCTTCCTTTCTTCTTTCCCCAACTTTTCCCAGGTTGGTAACCACATTGATGTGATAACTGCCAAGTGGGTAGCTCAGGATGCTGGCATCGGGGCTGGAGTGGACTCCTACTTTGAATACCTCGTTAAAGGAGCCATTCTCCTGCAGGACAAGGAGCTGATGTCCATGTTCCTAGGTGAGTAGTTCATTTTCTGTGCAATGGGTCCCAAGGATAACCCTTGACTACACCGTAAAAACTTTTGCCTTTGGAACTGCAGGAGGGTAAGATACTGGATTACTGGATCACTCTTCTGTGTTTCTTCATAGAATATAACAAAGCTATCAAAAACTACACAAAGTTTGATGACTGGTACCTCTGGGTTCAGATGTACAAAGGAACAGTGTCCATGCCTGTTTTCCAGTCTCTGGAGGCCTACTGGCCAGGTCTACAGGTAGGAGCTGTCATACCAGTAACATAAAGCAATTTTCTTCATCTGTCTTGGGTTCATCTTTAGCACGCTCACAAATATAACCCTCACTTCTGATTAGCCTAAGCTGTGGAAGAGCAGATGTTGATTTCATCTGCATTCTATAAGAAAAAGTCTCTTGGTAAACATAACAGGAGGGTGATTTTGCTGTAACAAACAACAAAAAGATTTCATATTATTTCAGGCATGCAGAAGTGACCCAGCAACATCTAGTTCTTCTTGACTCCTAGCTAATCTTAAGGTATCCTGTCTAAATAGTAGTTAGGCGGTTCAGACTAGCTAAACAACCCATTTCTGTCACCAGCTCTTGCCTTGACTGTGGGAGGGCTATTTAGCCAATTCCTGTGCTGTTTGGTCTCCAGCTGAAAGTTGCTTTGCTCATTACTGCCTCTCTCTCAGAGCCTAATTGGAGATGTAGATAATGCCATGCGAACCTTCCTCAACTATTACACAGTTTGGAAGCAGTTTGGTGGACTGCCCGAGTTCTACAACATTCCCCAGGGCTATACAGTGGAGAAGAGGGAGGGATATCCACTCCGGCCTGGTAAGCAGGAATAAAATCAGAAGCATGTGGAGTTCTGCTTTTGTTCTGCTAATAAGTTCAAATGTGGACAATACATGTCATGTTGTCAAATGCGTTGACCAAGGTCCTTCCCAGGCTTTGCTTTCACTTGGTTCTTGCTGCATCTTATCCATGGTTTCCATGCTCAAACTCATGCGTTTTGATATCTGCCATTCCCAAAAGGCAGGGCTACCTTATAACAAGGTATTTTTTTATATATTATTTATATATATATATCACACACACCCCTTATAATAATGTATATATCTTACATATAATAATAATAATATATAAAGGATCCAAAGTATAGTGTTACTATTATAAAGGGGGCCTGTTGATGAATTGAGTTCACAGAATAGATATGTTTAAGTGTTTGAATTCAGCACATCCTATGTTAGAGAATCTAAGTCAGTGGAATAGATTAATATGACTGATTGTATCATTTAAATGAAGGAAGTGAAGGTGAGTATGGATAGACTGCTCCAGGTCTGCTGAAGTTCCTCAGATAAACTGCTTCTAGTAACACTACAGAAGTTCAGCAGATGAAAGGGTTGTATGTTGTCTGATTGTAATGATTGATATTTTCCCCATTCTTCACAACTCTTGACAGTTTTATTTATTTCACACTTGATTATGTTTGCAAATGAGTGCAAATTGTGTTGCTTTCAGTTTGAAAGTTCAGGTGGCATCTGCATTGGACACGTCTGTCAAATTCTCGACAGCATTATCTTTAAAATGTATTATACCATCCAAAAAAAGTCTTCCTTTAGTGAGTAAGGAAAATATTATGTATGTGTTGTCTATGTAGAGTAATTTTTTTGCAGTGCATTAGATGCCATTTTTTGCAGTGCATTAGATGCTCCTGTTTCAGTTCTTTACAGTACTATTTAAAAATGATATTTCAGTGTTTGAATCTTTTTTATGTGATTCTGTTTAGAAGCACCTTTTTTATTATTTATTTCTTATTTTTTCTTAAACAGTTTAAAATCCTTTCCCTAATCTTCCCTTCTCCTATGGGCTATTTTTCAGTCTTATCTGAGCGAATGGACGCAAGTTAGAGTTTCCTTTGTAGCAAGCTCTGAGTAAAAGAAGGTATCCCTGTACTTCCCCTGCAAGAAGAATTACAAAACAATCCAGTTAACTGACCATCTTAAAATAATATTTTAAATTGCTGCATTTTGCCTTGATTTTTATGCTTGCAACTACATTTTCACAGAGCTGATTGAGAGTGCAATGTACCTGTACCGGGCTACACGAGACCCCACACTCCTAGAGCTGGGAAGAGATGCAGTGGAGTCTATTGAGAAAATCAGCAAGGTGGACTGTGGATTTGCAACAGTAAGTGTGGCTGCTAAAAAACAAAATCATCTTTAAACAAGTCAGGCTGATGAGAATTTGATTTAAAAGCCTGAATGCTGTTTTGCTATTGAGTTGATCTGTATCGTAGGCTGAAACTTGAACTTCTTTCTCCAATAAACACCTTCTCTGTTTCAGTAGATCTGATCTGGTAATGCTGGCTGTGTTTCTGGGAGTGACTTTTGTCTTGGCCTGAAAACTGGGTCAAATTCTGTTATTAGCAGATGTTCCCGAGATGTACTCAAAACATGGGAAAGCATCAGAGGCTTCTCCAGCCTTGAGTATTTCAGAAAATACAAGATATTCTAAGCTGGCAACAAGGCTCATATGCTTTTTAAAAGTGGAGGTGTTTTCTGGCTGTCAGTTTTGCAGTTCCCTTTTCCCTTTGTGCCTTGAAAATCTGATCAAACACACGAGAACTGCAAAAGTGGTTTCCCACAAATCTGCTAATAATAGATTTTCAATATGCTATCAAGCTGTTATATGAAAAAAATGCCTATAAATATCGGGAATTAGGCCTTGTGATTGTGGAAGTAGGTAAGAGCTAAAGAATTTGACTTCAGGTGGAGAAATCATGGCAAGATTACTCACTCTCCACTGCTACCCCATGTAAGAAATGCATTTCTTCTCAGTGCTGGTTTCCTGTTCCTTATCATTAGTCTATGCTCATTTCAAAGCATCTGAGAACCAGATGAAATGTCTGCATACCATCATTTAAAATATGGGTTGTGTCACTATCATGTAAATTATATGAACTGCAAGATGGTTTTACTTTGGTCCGAAGTTCAAAACTGCTTACACCTTAATTCAGGATATGTGCAATCCACTGGATTTCTTCTCTTGCAGATCAAAGACTTGAGAGATCACAGACTGGATAATCGCATGGAATCCTTCTTTTTAGCTGAAACAGTGAAATATTTGTATCTGCTGTTCGACCCAGATAACTTCATTCACAACGACGGGTCAGACTTTGATGTGGTGCTCACGCCATACGGGGAATGCATCTTGAATGCTGGCGGATACATCTTTAACACTGAAGCTCACCCTATAGACCCTGCTGCACTGCATTGCTGTAGGAAGCGGAAAGAAGAGCAGTGGGAGGTAGAAGATTTGATGAGAGAATTTTACTCCTTGAAGAGAAACAAGAAATTCTCTTTAAAAAGAGCTTCAGACCATGGTGAAGGGGAAAGCACACAAGACACTGTAGATACCTCTTCAGAGAGTGGCAGAGAGCAAAGAAACTCTAAGAAGAAAACACATTCCCTCCTGAGTTGTCCTAGTCAGTCTTTTAACTCCAAACTTGCAGTCCTGGGACAAGTCTTCCTAGACAACACCTAATTCCATTCTTATCAGCCTAAGTTATTCAACTTGATTCCAACTCTGGGTATATATTTTTATAGGTTCATAATGGAAAAAGCCGTACCGCACAATGTGAACTCTAAAACAGCCTCTTGTTAGTCTGCTACTACTGCTGGATCATAAGACAGCCAGATGATGAGTTGTTAACACCATAAGTTGCTAATGTCAAACCAGTTGTTTGCTAAAAAGCAAATACATGTTCAGAAAGAGAAAGAAAAGTCAGCAATTGGAGATGCACCTTCTTCATTTCATTGTATGTTTGTTTTGAAATTTTCCAGCCTTATGCAGAGTCCACAGCTTATTTGTCTCCATAAAATTGAATCTTAGCTGTTCCCTGCATATAGAGAGAAACCACTGAATTGTTAGCTCTAGATTCACTTCTGAGACTACAGGTCTCCTAGGATATCCTCCACCGTTGCCACTGGCCTCCAAATGACCATGTGTTTAGCCTAAGAGATTTATGATCAGTCGAGGAAAACATTTTTCATTCATGACATACAGCCTTGGTGGCATTTGGTCGACTTGGCAAATACAAAACTGTGTATATTTTTATGAGTAGTGTCTGTTTTCCACAGGTGTGTGCAGTGAATAGAAGGGGAGAAATCAGTAGTGTTCACAGAACTGACACTAAGAATAAATGTTTCTTTTAAGGCAGAAAAATGACTGACTTCAAACCTGCTGAAAGGTCAGCAGTCTAAAACAAGCACAAGAAAGTCATAATCAGCAGCAGAAGCTCCAAATGGGCAATTTTTAATGTACATTTGGACACTAGTAAGATGGTGTCTATGGGCCTATGAATGCTTAGCTATGGATGAGTAGCTAAAATCAGCCAGAAGAGTCTTGTCTCTCCACCTGTGGCCAACCACTGCTGCACTATCTTGCACTATCTGCTGTGAATATCTTGAATATCTGAGTATCTTGATGCAACTGTGACAGGCAGGTATTGAATGGAATCTCCTAGAATTGAGACATTACTAGTAAATGCAGGAGTTTTTGCTTTTGGCTCTTTAAAACCATAAGGTCATTTGTGGGGAGGGGTCCAGCTTTTCATACTATTTGCTTTTTCATACTCTGGCTGTCCAGTTTGTAGAAGAACAAGATATTCACCAAAGGCTTCACAGGGTTCTCGGCCTGGGCACTCAGCATCGCCTCATCCACACGCTAGAGGCAAGTGAAGGATGATCTTCTCGTAGATGAGATCTACTGGGCTGGCATCCTAAAGCATTTTGGTTTCCTCCCAGAAGTGGCTGCAGTAGCAGAGCTGAGGGGAGTAGCCTTAGGCAGTAACATCTCTTCTCAGCTCATTTGGAGCTTAAAAGAAGGTGTTTGTCCACAGCTCCTGTTCTGCTGTGATCAGTTAGACTGGAATTGTGGTAGGTGTTATGGGATGAGTCAAATCAAGGTCATCTTGATTAATGTTACTCTTGGCCTGCTACAATATTTGACAGTGACGGCCAGCTTACAAAGACTTTAACAAAAAGGCCTTTGATTAAAATCTGTAGGATCTATTTTATTATTTTTTACTATGGAGAACTCTGTAACGTGGGCAAACAGCAAGTTTAAACTCTAGTGACCCGTGTACGAGTTATGTTATTTCATAGACAGCACGATGAAGGACAGATCTTTGGGAAGCCCTTTCTGAGGGATAGTAGGATGATACGATGGTGCCTATCTGTCCCCTTAGAGAGCTGATTCCATTCCATATATGTCCAAGGTAAGAGCTTTTGCTCCTGGTGAGAACTTGATGAATCCAGAGTTACTATCACAAATCAGTGGAGAAAATAAGATTTATTGTCTTCTACTGCTGCTTCTCCCAGGAGCTTCACAATGTAGTACATCTATGGGAAGAGACAGCAGGTCTATTTTGGTATATTCCAGCTGGAGGGAGAGCTCCAGTCAAGCAATATGGGAGCACTTGGTTGTGTTAATAGAACGTGGAGGAGTTTTGTCAGGAATCCAGAATGAGGTCTGTGTGAAACACAGATGGGTAATGGCAATTTTGGACCGTTTCCAGTTGAGGCAGATCAGAACTGAAAAGATCCCACCTACAGTACATGCTGGTGACATCTGTCAAGGGCTTCAAGCAAATTGTGGTAGAGTTGTGAAAAATAGCACAGAAACCATATATAGAATTTGTTGCTGAAGCCACACTTGTAACTGTTTTATCTCTTCTCTGCTGAAAGCAGCATAAGAGGGGAAAAAAAAACCCCAACACAAACAAAAAACCTTAACTTGAGGCCAGATTTTTGAAACATTTTAAAGCTGATTGTTAAGACTTGGAGCCTCTTGGAGAGGCTGTAGATGTGGCCAGATGGATGAAAGGTCAGATGAGCATTTTATGGATGACTATCCATTATTAAGGAGAAGCAGAGAAAAAAAAAAAAAAAAAAAAACCTTTTGCCAAAAGTGCAAGGTGGTGAGTAGTGATGTAAGATATAACACTGTAAAACTTCTAAATACACCTTCCCAGATCCCATTGCCTGATGCGTGAGGGATCCGAATGGTCAAGCAGTGCTTTGAAGTGACATATTGATCTTTAGTTCTCTGATACTTTATATTCTGTTCTGCTTTTCTTTACAAAGAATGATGTGTAGAAGGTAAGGTCTGCATTCGGAGCTGCTATATTTTGGTATTCAAGTCTTATGTTCCCTTCCCTGCTGTCTCACCGCCAACCTTAGCTCTTGAGCAGCTAAGACCTGTTCCAAGGGGCTAGATGAGGCTGTAGCAAGTTAGGGAGCAGGGCAGCGACCAGTGATGGCTCTCGGCCTTTGAAGGGCCACCAGCACCTCTTGGCTTGGAGCTGCCACCTCTGGGCTCAAGAATGGCTTCATGGGGATGTGTGTGACATGTGGCAGCCCTCACACTGTGCTGTGTGCCCCCCTTGGCTTGGTTCTCTAACCCTGTGGGGTATTTATGCCTTGCTCGTCTTGCTGTGGCTTGGAGAACAGCACCTGGCTTGGTAGGTGGCACGAATCTTCCCTTTTTCCCTTCATGGAAGCCAATCCCATGCTCTAGTGTCCTCACCGCATGACAGGCTTTCAGGAATTGTGCTTTCATGGTTTATTCTGTTTGATTCAAGCTTTTTGGATGCTGTAGTAGGATTTTTAGCTTTGCCCACAAGTTTCTGCACTGCTCGACTCAACCAGCAGCAGTAAAGGATATGCTGGTGTTTTAAAGAAAATACTACTTGTTTTGTTTCATTAATGTCACCAGGCTTCTTCCAATCTCATTTATTAGTAATGGCTCCTCTCCACGTGCCTGCATAATTATTTAATAAGATTTTATTTTGTTTTTATTTACGAGAGTTGCGGGGCTGTTTGGGAATTCCTGTTGCGGTGAAATTTTCCTGCTCTGGGTTGTGGCTGCTGTGGGTGCTATTTTCCTGGTCCCGCTTGTTCAGGGTGTTATGCAACAGCACAAGGAGGAAGCCTCACAGGCAGCAAGCCAGGAGACAGGGCCGCTCTTTGGAGGTCATTTTGCCTCGGTAGGTTATTCACAGCGTTATTAACAGCACGGTTGGTGCCCACGCTGGTCGTGGGGCAGCTGCAGGCTGTTTCACCGCCCGGCTGCAGGACACTGATGTGTCTGAACAAAGCCGAGCCGGGCGGCCCCGCCATCTTCCCTCTCCATCATGGCCGCCCCGCGCTGCAGGAGGAGGCCTCCTCCTTCCCGGCATGCTCCGCGCGCGGCGCCACGCTCCCCCCCACCTCCCTCTGCGCGTGCGCGGGGCGCGGCCGGACTACATTTCCCAGCGTCCTCCGGGGGTCCTGGCGCGCTTTCCTTCCGGTAGAGGGCACTGCGTCGCCGGAGGGGGAGGGGGTGCTTCCTGTTTGTCTCCGTCCGGCGGCAGGAGCGGCCATGGCGGCGGCGGCGGCGGCGGGGGGGCCCGGGCCCGGCGGCGGCAGCAGCAGCAGCGGCAGCTCAGCGGCCGCGGCCTCACGCGGGGGGCGCAGGTAGCGGGGGCGGGCCGCGGGGGGGGAAGGCCGCGGCGGGGCCCGCGTGGCGCGGCCGGGCCCGGAGCCGCCCTGCAGCCTCCCCCGAGCACGTTAACGCTCCCGTGCCCGCTCCGTGGCGTTCCTCCCGGTGAGAAACCCCGGCGAGGGCGGTTTGCCCCGTCCGTGGGCTGCCTGGGGTGCGTCGTGGGTTCCTACAAGGAAGAGGAAGCTCCGTGTGGAACCGGAGCCGAACCCGGCGTCGACATTGAAGGCCTCGCAGCCTTACGGCTCCGGAAAGCTTTCGCTCGGGAATGCTGCCTTTGCTGCGGGTGGTTTTCCCTGGAGCTGTTCCAGCCCCATCCCAAATGGTCGTGTCTCCCACTTGGTGACGTTGGGAAGGCGCTGGGAAGTGAATTCGGACTTGTTCTCCTAGATTCTTGCATACGGCGTGTGCTTTGTGTGGTGACTTTGGAGACGCTGCTCCGTGATACTTGGGTGCTAATTATTTCCTATGAAGTCCTAAGTGGCGCTTGTTTTACAGATTAAATATAAAATGGAGCAAAGGCTTGAAAACTAGAAAGGGGATAAAAGACTGGCATTTAGACAGTGATTCATTGTGTTTAAGTAACTTTAAAGGATGAGATGCAATAACAGGATTTCCCTGAGGTTTCTGCAGTGACTTTCATTAGTGCAAGCATCAGCATTTTCCTTGATTAACAAGAATTTGAAGCAATTGCAAAGGGAAGACTCATTCATCCATATAAATGTGTATTGCTCTGTAGGCAGAAGAGGTAAAAAGATAGATGAAAGCAGGAAAATCATTTTCAGCTGCTCTTTTGTCCTTATTGTACTTCCCACTCAAATACCAGATTAGTTCTTTGTTCTTAAAAAAAGCAAATCTCTGCATAACTTTAACCCTGATACTGTCTATTTTAAGATAAGCTGTTTACGTGGAATAGTTTTTGGTGTGTATTTGTAGGCCGTGCAGACTCAGTGCTGCCTTGTTTCACCAACTCCTCTGCCCACCTCCAGACACCTGCCCTGTAAAACCTGTAGGGATTTAGGGTAGAAGAGCCTGAATCCGTCCTGTATTTTTAACGTAGAGCTTTTATGGCTTGTTTGAGATGTCTGAAGAAGAAAATGACCTGACTTGGGTTATAACCAAGGAAACTTATGCTCGTTAAGCCCTTCTTGTAATATCTGTGCTTAGGGGGTTGTTTGTTTGCTTAATATATTTTAATACTGCTCTGCTGCAAGGAGAGATTTAAAGCTCAAACACCTAGACTTCCTAATGCTTGGTTACTGCATAGTAGCCTGTCATTAAATTGCTTGCACCAAGGGAAAAAATAACTTGGTTGGTTTTGAACTTGGTGGAAGGGGGTCCCGGGAATTCAGCAGCAAATTAGTTATTTGGGAATTCTGCCCTCAACTCGAATATGCTTTTGTGGATCTCTGCTTGGAGATGGGAATTATGATACACTAGAGCAAAGAAGTGTATTCGAGCTGAACTGTTGTGTCGGGACCCTCATAAATGTTGCTGTGGTGAACAGTGTGTTTTAAAGTTGTGATTTGTCTTATTCTGTAAATAACTGCAGTGAAAAGTTTACCAAGGGCAACGTTCACCATTTTGAAATACGTTTGTGTACTTTTGCAGTGAAGTGTATTTTTTTGTTCTTGTTTTTAGTTGTGGAAGATGAAAATTATACGATTGTCTTTTATATTTTGGGGAAGTCTGAGGCACTTCTGCATACTCTTTATTTAATTTCTGCTTTTATGAGAATGGCTATGATTTTCCTGCAGTCACCTCCTCAATAGCCGTTTCTCAAGAGTCTCAACTCATTTTACCCCCAAAAATATCCCGAGACAGATCAACTTTCCAAGCTACAGTGTTGGGGTCTGGCAGAGCAAGTCAGGGGAAACTTCTCCCAGCTCTACTTTCCTGTCCTTTGTAAGGAAACTTTGGGTCAAATGCCACGTGGACTGCATCTCTGGCATCCTACAAAGAGGAGAAGCCCTTTTCAAGGTTTTAAGAAAGAAAAAGCTTTCCAAATCTCTCTGAATTATGGTGCATGCAGTCTGAGTTATATTATTGCACAGTATAGTCACTGTGAAATATCTATTGCTGCTGTATCTGCTCCCTGGGAGGCAGGTAGCAACGTTCTGTAGGCAGAATGTTGCATTTGTTATTAAATGACGCACTAATTGCCTTTCTTTTTTTCCTCTAGATGATCTCAAATCTCTCTTTTTTTTTTTTTTTTTTTTTTTTCATAAGGAAAGCCAGGGGTTCATTCTTGAATTGGTAAGCGTGGCTATTCACAGATCTGCACATGAAAGTTCACTCATCTGATCTTAGTAGGATGTATAAAAAATTTTTTGATAGTAACAACCACCTGAATTTTGGTTTTGCAGGCAGTTAGATCTCAAAAAAGCTGAGTGTTTGACATGGGCCTTGCTTGTATTCAGCAGCAACCACAGCTGTTCTGCCAGTTGTTTTGTTTCCCTCTTATTAAAAATTACAAGATTGAGGGATAAAATAGATGTTAGTAGATATCTCCATTATCTATTGATATTATATAATTTAGGACTATTGTTATATATAGTGTATATACAAGTAAGTCATTAGTATCAGATTGCTCAACCTTTTATTTTGTTTTGCCTTTATCTACCCTAGTACTGGGTACAGATCAGGTAAAAAAGTGTTTTTTAAGAGATTAGTAAACTAGAAGCAGCTTTCCAGAAATGACACACACTTTGTAATAACAAAAAATACTGCTTGCAAACTAGCTGCTCTGTATTTCCTTTCCTGGCACAGTTTCGCTGTATTCACACAGACATTGTAAATGAGACCTAATGGGGTTTGCACTGCAGTTCCATGAAGGCAAAGCAACGTTTCAGTGCAGCTGATCAAGCTCAAAACAGGATTTTATCCTCTTAGCAAGAGGGCACACGTTTTATCTGGTGCAAGCCAACTGTTAAAAATATGTATGCAGTGTGAAATCCAAAGAATATTTAGGTGAATCCATGTAGAGGGAATTATAATAATGGATTAGCCGGTGATTTGTTGGCAAACTAGTGTTTTGATTCTAGTGTAGTTGCACGAGCAAGTTATCAGTGCTAGTCTCACCCTCTCACAAAATTGCCAAGGCTTAGCTGAACCAAGCAGACTGGAGCGAAAAAAAAGCCCACTTTTCCAGCTGTTTTTCACGGTCTGTTATTCCAAGGGATAAATACTTTCTTGAACACTATAGTCCATGTCTGTTCTCTGTGAAAGGAAAACATTTTCTGCCTCAAACATCCAAATTTCCACATCTTACCATTCTGAAGCATCAGCAGTTTGTAATAGTTTCCCTCGTAGCTCTTTGGAAATCTTTTATTCTCTAAGCAGTATTGTTTTCTCCTTAACACACAAAAAAAGATTTACACGAATATAATCCACTTTAGTAGCTCTAATTGTATCGGTCTTAGCAGGCTTATGCCTTTTCAGTAGAGGAGGCAGCTAGGTAGTATCAGAAAGCCGGGATGTGCTTTTTATGGAAGCGGGAGCAGAGCTCTGTCTGGACCTAGAAATACTTAAAAATGCTAGTGTTAGATTTCAGTAAATCTATTTTGCTGATTAAAAGTGAGTTTGGAACAAAAAAAAAAAAAACCCTCTTACCTCTGCTTGTTTTGAGTTATCCTTACAGATTTTATCTTATCAAAATGAGTAGCAAAGGAAACGTTTTAGGTAGTTCTGAGAAAAGAGTAACCACTGATGAGTTAATTTTATATATTTATTTTTCTCTAGGCATAGGATTGCAAAAACAAGTATCAGAAGCCTATGCTATAAAATCCATTGTGGTTTCCTGGATGCTGGAGAGTTGTTGGTGTCATCTGCTTTGGAGTTGTTCTGCTCTAGGAAACAGTGGATTTTCTTGAGCGCTTTTCTTCATGTTGACAGACTGGCTCTTCCACCAGGGCTAGTGGCCAGAGCAGTTTTTTGGGAATCGTGGCAATGGTTCACCACAAAGCAAAATGCCCAAGTGCCAAAGCATTTGGTTGTGGTGTAACCCTGAAAATCAGTGTGACGTGGCAGGAGATTTCAAACTGCAGCCTGGAAAGGGAATTTGTAATTGGGGTTGTCTGACATAACTGGCTTGTTGGAGACCTTCCAGTGGTGATGAGTGTCCGGTTGTGAGGATCACCGTGAACATCTGAATTTTCAGAGGAGATGGAAGGACCAGGAGATTAGAGCCTGGAGGTGCCTGTCTGGGTGAGTTTGGGCCAGCAGAGCCTTGCAGATGTGGATTAGGAGACATAGATCTTGTTTTAAAAGGTTTGAAGGAAAGGATTTGGAAGGACTTTGGCTTTGTTAGAGGCATGTAGAGAGACTGCATGCTTGTATCTGCTCTTTGAGAGCCATTGTTCTGTGCCTCTCTTTTTGTCTTCTTAAACTTTCAAAGCATTTGAACATATACTGGAGAAGTGGTCATGAAAAATATTGAGAATGGAAACTCGGTTGTTTTCTTAAAGGACTCTTAGCTTAATGCAAACAACAAAAATGAATGAAAAAAATGCAGATGGTGTGGCTTATTTATAAGGCCAGTCACAAAATGAATTCTTTAGTGGTGTAAAGCATATTTGGGGACCTTGGTTTGTATTTTTGGCTTTTGAAAGATCAACTTTTTAGAAAGCACTATGTTACAGCGTCCTCCAGGGAGCCTTTAAAGAGAAAACCACTGTGTCTGCTCTACGTTGGCTGGGTTTGATGACATATTTTAGCTCTGTATTTTAATCCGCTCAGAAGTGCTTGCCCTTCCCACAAAACCATGCTGACACAGCTTCCAGGGCATGGTTGGAGGAGGGGGAGATGACTAATATCTGGTTAGGCTTGACTGATGAAGAGCATTCAGTGAAACTGGTTCCAGCACAGAGCTTGTGGGACACTGTATTAGGTAGTTTGCAGGCTCCGTGCTGGAGCTGAGCTAGCGTGTACCGCTTCACTCCTGATCATACTGTGCTCAGGAGAGCCTTAAAATGTCATTCCCGACGTTCCTCGGTTTATGAATCAAAATTTGGAATTGTTGAGGCAAATCTGTGGGAAGTGACTGTGCGACATCTTGCCCTTTGCACCCGTTTAGCTAACTAAATGGTAGGAAAATTTGGATACTTCAGTTTTCCCAATATTAGATACTCCTTTCTCCTCTCTCTCTAATGTAAGACATGACAATTTGCAATCCCTACAGCCATCAGTTGCATAAACTCTTTGTTTTACTTGATGTACTTAATTGTTTTACTTGGTTTTACTTTACGTTTCCAATTTAACTTCTACAACCTCCCCTGTTTTTTTTTTTAGTGCCTTAAATCCATGTTAGTGTCTTAAATCCACACATTTTATCCTGAGCCATTCAGTAAGTGAAGAAATATTCTGAGAAATTGATGTAGGATTGGACTGGGCCTGGATGAAACGAAAGTAAATAAACGTGAAAGTGAGGTGGCCTCCAAAGGCCCAGTGCTAATTTTGATGACTTTTCACTAACGTCTGCCTAAAAAGATCAAGAAAGGAGTATAACTTGACTTGTAGATGAAAGCTATTAACTAGCTGCTATTATAGAAATCACGAGATGCAGATTTAAACCCAAAATGGTTGCAGAGACAGCAGCTCCCTAGAAATTAATTGGATTTGAATCCCTCAACAGAATCCAAAGTCTCTGTGTTGGCAAATACCACCCCCCCCCCCCAATGGAAATACTCAGAGCCAGGATAGCCTCGGAAACACAGAGCAGGGAGGACAAACCAGAGCTAGTAATGAAACCAGAGGCATGTGTTCCATCAAGAGAGAGCCTTTGCTGAAAGCAGTTGCAGGAAGAGGAGAGCAAGAAGCATTTGCTTCAGTCCCTCAGAATTTGCGTCGTGGAAGTTCTCTGCCTGTCAGCACAAGTGACGCCTCGGAGCTTGAGGAAGGAAGAGGAAGCTGCGTTAGTACAGAAATGAGAACGGAGAGGGATCCTGCCCCAACCCGAAAAGCCCAGATGTGATTTGCAAGTGCAGCGTTAAGCCCAAAGAAGGGTTTAGCAGCACTGAGGAGCATTTGGTTTAATCAGGGAGCACTTGGGTACTGGGGCCTGAGCTGTGCTGCCCGCGCAGCTCGGGTTGCGGCTCTGCGCACGTCATCTTTGCATGTGGTATCGTTCCCATCAGCTGGAAGCAGAGAGTTGGACTCTTTCCCTGGCGTTTTGCTGCACGTTCTTTGTACTTTACCCAGCTATTAATGTTGGTTCTGCACTCCTCCCTCAGCAGATGTGGGGTAAGGGCAGAGTTCCTCTTGTCTTCTCTGTGCTGTGAAGTAGAGGGAGAAGTCGACATTTCTCACTTAAAGGAACTGCCCCATTGCTCAGTCCAAGGCCATTTTGACTTTCTGGTTTTATTTTGGTGTTTCTTACAAGGACGATCTCCTCAGAAAACATCTGTGTCATTCACTAGCAGTGCAGGTTCGTTACCCAGGAAATCAAAAAAAAAAAGAGTTTAAAACAAGGGAAGTTATCCAGAGTTTTTCATGTTGCCTCCAGTCACTCCTTGCAGTAAGGAAAAAATTGAAATCTTACTTAAAATTTCTTGAAATTTTTACTTAATTTTTACTTTTTTTTTTTTGAAATTTTTACTTAAATGCAACTTTGGATATTTTGATTTATGTATCTAGGAAGAAGAGAGATGATGCAGAGGAGCTAATGTTGCCAGCCTGAGTTTTCTGGGTGCAAGAATCAGTGCTCTGATTTTCCTGTATGCAGGCTTGCAGTCAGGGAGAAAGAGTTAAACAGGCAGCTCTTGTCGTATATTTGCATATAATTGTGTGATCAGAAATTGAATGCCAGTTGTTGAGGAGGATGCCCTGGTTGAGACTCTTAAGAAACACCATTTCCTGGATGTTAACTTTTAACAATGAGCATTGTGGTAGAGTGCAAAGGAAACAGTGCATGTTGAGCAGGAAGATTAGGGGGTCACCGTGATGGATACGTGATGAGAGTTGCTTAGGTCTAGGAGTAGAAGAAAAGCCATAAATTCCAACTTGAATTGCAGTCTTGTTATAGACTTTTTTTTTTTTTCCCCTGAGGACATAGAAAAGCTTTGATACAGCCACCAAGATTTCTGGTGGATTTTAATTATTGTCACCTTGAATTTCCATGCAAGGATAACTCGCCATTTCAGCATTGATCTAGGCACCTTTGATGAAGATGCAAGGAGAAAGAGGAGGGTTAAATTTTGGTCACCTTTATTTTTTTTTTGCAAAAACTTGCAAAAAAAATAATTTGCAAGTGCTAAATTTGGTGTGTGCAGGTGTGTATGTGTGTGAGTGTGACTGCAAGCCACTTCCCAGATAATAGTGCCTACTTCCTACTGATCAAATTATCAGTTTCCATCCATAACCTGCCACGACTACAGGGAAATTTGCACTGTATTGTTGACATCTTGCAGATCTGTGTGGTTTGGGCCATTGCTGAGGCAGTTTCTTTACTGTCTTTCCTGTGTTTTACTGTCTGAATGTAGCAATGAAGTCTGTCTGCTGTATTTTCTCTAGGCTACTGTAATTTTTGATGGTGAATGTCACTAAATCACAGTTTTACTGATGAATCTGCTCAGAGTTTAGTGTCCTATTAAACGTATATGACCAGTATATAAATATGGAATGAGATTAAGTACTCTAAATGATACCTCTGCTTTAAGAGCTGTCCTGGTTAAGGTGCTGTGTCCATCTGTAAGATTATGCAGCTCCCAGTCTTGGATCAACTGCCAAGTGGGGAAAGATGCTGAATTTTATAATGGGTACTGTCTGCAATCAACTCCTGTTCTATGGGATTCTGATACTGATATTCTGAGAAGGTGATGATTTATTAGTTTGTATTCTTGAGGGTGAAACATTGGACAAACGCTTGTTTTTCTTGCAGATCACAGAGGCTTTGTTAAAGGAGAGAGATAAACAAGCAAAATGGAACGGGATTCCCTTGCTATTGCAAAAGTTGTATGAGCAAAGCCACCCAAACAGCGACTTCTCCCAGTGCCAAAGCATCCTTAAGGTACTGTGTACACTGTTCTTGCAGGAACCAAAGGATTTTGCTGTTACTTTCTGAAGAGGTTGCTGTGATCATACTCTTTTAACTGGAATTTCTGAAACTGCATGACAATATCTGTGAATTAGGTGTAGGTAAAAGCTAGGAATAGGAATGTAACTGATTAGTCACTAGTCACACATGAAAGGTTTGAGATGGTTGTATCTGTATTGAGGAAAAATTTTCTTTTTGAAACTTGTGTTTTTACTCCGTGCAGGAAATTTCTCCGCTTCTTTCAATGGAAGCCATGGCATTTGTCACAGAAGATAGAAAAGCTGCTCAAGAATCTACTTTCCCAAACACCTACACATTTGACCTGTTTGGAGGAGTTGATGTAAGTGCAGTCTTCCATCCATCCTCTCTCTGCCCCTTATCTGCCTTCCAGATACGTAAAAAGCTTCTGCATTATAGTTACACCCTGGATCAATCTATAAAATGTTCGAAACTCCCGAAGCTTTGAAAAACAAGTTACAAATTTTACTGATTTGATGTCATCTACTACAAATCTGCATGCTTCTGTTTACGTAAAATGTGCAGAGGTATATTTTTCAGGGCATTACATCATCAAAACCAAGATTTTTCTTTTTTCCCTATAAGATATAAAAGATCTGGTTGTTTCCTAATGTCACCTGCTTGTAAGTTGTGAGACGTCTAGTCTCTCAGTGAAAACAGCTTCGTGTGACTTCCAGCTATGTGGTAAATAGTAGATGCACCACAAGAGCGGTGGGAATTTCACTTCCATGTGAGGATTTATGTTTTTTAAGCAAACTAAGGTAGCAAGGAATTCTCTTAGGCAGAATATATTGTTGGCAAACTCTTCTATCTTACCATGGAAATACTTTTAAACAACTGGTAGGTTTATGTGCTGGTACTTAAGCAATAAGTTACAGTAAAGTTTATTTTAATTCTACATTACCCAAGTACACGAGTTTACCTCAGTTTTGTGATGAGACACCCTGTGATCTTGACTTTCATTAGAAATATGATTTGTATTTTTTTTAATGGACTAATTTGCTAAATCTTTTTATTTAACCTAAGACAGAGATAAGGAGAGAGTTCTGGCACCTAGTATGTCTTTATTGCAGTAAAACTTATAGCAAGAGCCTGTTGTTTTGAAATGAACCCTGATTAGGTTTTGGTATCTTGTAAATTGGGGGTAAAATGTTCAGCTACCTAAGCAATTTAGAACATGCTTAAAATAATAATTTTTGTATCTAAACGGAAATAGTGATGCTTCCTGTGGAAATGCTTTTCCTATAAAAATGCATAGAAAATTACTTTGTTTCATATTTAAATAAGTGGATGGGGTTTTGTTTTCCTTTTTTTTTTTCTGATTAGAGCCTATGAAGGTGACATGAGAAACAGAGCAAACTGTTTTCTCTCAAGGTTTTCAAACCTCAGATATTCCTGTTCTTAATTACCTGGTTGTATAGCCAGAGATTCGTTTGATATGAGTGGGTTTGGTCTGATTAAAGGCAGTGGCAGAACTTAACTTCAGGACAATATCAAAGTCAGTGCTATGTGCTTTTGAAAATCCTACTCTAGGATCGGAATGGCAAATAGTCTAACATAGTAGTTATGTATATGCTACACTATAATATGTAATAATATATTCTTTAAAATATTTTTGTATCGAGACAGCCTTTACATCGGGAATGAACAAAAGCGGGTTTCTGTATTCTGCGTTTATATAGATATCTGATAGATATCTGTCAAATATTGCCTGACAGTACAAATATGTGATCTGGTGCATGAACCTCATTGACTTTGATCATGAATGCTGACCCCTTCCAAAAAAAAAAAAATTTCTTAACTCCATTTCTGCTCCTTCTGGCTAAGTGGATAACCTTTTTTCCTGTTCTTTTTCTATCTGTGAACTTGTGCACTTTTTGCTGCATATTCCATGCATTTGACATCATTTACAATATAGGTATCATCTCCAGTCTTGCATACATTTTCCTCTGCGTCCGGATGGATCATTCATTGAAAGAAATATAAAGCCAAGTTGGGAAAAAATATGGGAAACAAGTGTAAAATATGGTTATGATGTCAGTTGACACAGGCTGGAAGTAGCCAAGTGCTCTACACTGGTTTAACTGTTTTCAATTTAATTTTAAACTAGGATGGTCTTAATACTTCTAGAATCATCATTTCCTTCTAGTGGCTAACGACCACTTTTAACTAGGTAAAAACAAATATACCCAGGATAAACATAGTGGTACAGGCTACAATAAGTAAGATCAGTTCTCAGTCTGTTGAAACAGCAGCCTTGGGTTGAGGAGGCTTGCTTATTTATTTCTTAGAAAGAAATGAGCTAACACTTCATGCATCTTTAAATCTTTATAGCTGTGTGTGTATATATGTGTATATATATGAAATGTGCATGTACACAAACATTGTTTTGCCCTTTTTTGGCAAGAATAAAATCTGGAGCAACTGTTATATCTGTACCTGAAATACATTTTGAAGCCCATCAAGACTTAGGAAGACTTCACCAAAGTTTGTGTATCTTTGCAGATTATGCTGAAGCTTTGCAAGCTTGGGAGATCTGATAATTGTCTTTGCTGTTTGAGCATTTATGAAGTTATATTCTCTGCAGAGCCAAGTTTGTAAAAACTTGTCAGTGGAGACTGTTGTAACCAAATGTTATATTTCCTACTGGGTAAATACAATTGTTCAGCATTGCAGTTTTTTATACCATTGTGTTTTGATTGCAGGACTTCCATCATTTATCTTAGTGATTTCTAGCAGAGATTGGATAAGTTTGTATTTTTCACTGGCAAGTCAAAAGTTTATTAGCATCACACTGATTCTTCCCTTAATTCTTTTCTTGTTATTACAGCTTTTAGTAGAAATTCTCATGAGACCGACTCTTATGACACAGAAAAAGAAACAGAAAAGTAAGTGACTGGATATCTTACCCTTTTTTCATTCTCTTCTTGTGTTGTTCTTCAGAAATGAATTATTTTATTTTCTTAATTTTTCTTCTATTCCATCAATTTCCTGTTCTTAATCATTGATTTCTTCATTTTCTGAAGGACTGATTCATGATGGAGTTTAGAATAGTCACCCAGTACAAAGGGCAGCTCAGGTATCTTCATGTCCTCAACACAATGTATGGTTTTTCTCAGTGCAATAAATCTAGAATAACTAGAAGCTTCTATTACTGAGGCTACAGCTACTATTAACAAATGTTATCATAACCCCTGAAACACTGCTAATGTAATAGGAATTGTAAAGATTGTGAAATAAGTGCTGCCTTTCTGAGCTAGTCATGGTGATTACTCATATCTACGGTGTCATTTTCATGAGGAAAGCTAACCAAGGGGCTCTTGGTGTCACCCATGTGGATGGTAGTTTTCTTTGGCAGCTTATGGTTAATTTTATCTGTGTTTTTTTTTTTTTTTTTTCCCCCTCTGCAGTAAGTGATGACCTCATCAAAGACTGTTTAAGCATCCTGTACAACACATGCATATGTGTAAGTACAACTGCTGTGGAAAATTCTTCTGCTTGACCAGCCCATCTGCTGGTCAGTTTTATGTGTGCCGATTGAGAAGATAACATAGGTTCTTTTAAGCAAAATTTAAACTTAATTCTGGAACTTTGCATTAAAATTCTTTTGGTTAAAATTCTTCTGATTAAATACAGAGCCACTCTGTATTTTAGGGTGTTACTCATAATTTTTTTTAAGCCATATTGTCAAGCTGAAATAATTCTCCTCCTTATTTGCCCTTTGCATACCTGGGTTCCCACGGGAAAGCCTTTAAAGGCTTTGTTTATTTAGTTTTATTAAAACTTAACTGAAGTGGAAATGTGTGGCCACAATCTGTCCCAAACTGCAGCTCTGCCTGGCTCGCTCAGTAATGGTGCTGGCAAAGGGTTTTAATTTCCATCCTGCACATATTTCACATGCCAAATATCAGTTCATTAAATAGTTACTTGCCAGTCAGTGCTGGGGCAGGGTCTGGGGCTAAAGGCCCTTTGAAATAACTCACCTTGAAAATCATGAAGCTGAAATCACAGGCTTCAGATTATGCATACAAGAAGTAACCTCTGGACTGTTTACCCAATCATGCAGTTTGTTATGTCATTACTCAGGGAACATTGTTTAACAACAACAACAAAAAGCAATTAATGGCTTGGAGCTGGTTTCAGAAAATCAACCTTATCTTGAGTGTTTGAGTGTTAGTAGATCATGTTCTCAGTAATAAGTAGCCATATATGGATGAGAAGGATAAGAGATGAAATATTTTTTTTACTGAAGTGTTTAAACAAGAGGCAGTGCAAATTTTGACTAGTATAACATGTTAATAAAATTTGTGATTTATGGACTAGCTGCTCTTGGATCACGTTGGGAACTGTGGCCTCTTTTGAATGAAATCTGTCCAGATTACAGAAATATTCCTTGTCCCTCTTAACTGTTTTTATGCTTGTGTTTGAAAAGTCAGGAAGGATCCAAATTCAACTTCTCCTCTGTGAGCGTGGGTGAAAAGTCAGTCGCCTAACAGACAGCTTTGCAATCAAGGACAGCTAATTCCAGAAGGGGCTCCCCAAGCTCCCAGCAGAGATCAGAGTGTGAAGGCTGCCCCTGCTACCATGACTTAGGTTGATTAGTGAAGTAAATTAAGGGCAGCACTTGGTTCTGATTGCTCAGATGCTGCCCAGCTGAGAGCAGTGCTAACGGGTTTAGGAGGAATCTGGGGACTGAATTTCACTCCCATAAAATGGAACTGGTCATAACATGCATGAGAAACAAGAAACAAACTTTCTTGATGTATTTCCAGGACTGCAGTGTTTACTTTTTTCATTTAGTAAATAACTCAGCCCTGAGATGAAGACCCTTATACTGCTCCCTGGTGCTCTTGGAAGCCTTATGTTAACTTCCAACAGCTAACATTCCTGCAATTAGTTTTGATTGCTATAAAAACAATGTTTCCCAGTCTTTGGAAGAGTTGATTAAGTAACATCTTGTGTAAAACTGTTCTTCATGACTCTCCGGTGTGTGTTTGCCTGATTCTTGCTTTTTTTCCTAGACGGAAGGAGTCACGAGGCGGCTGGCGGAAAGAAATGACTTTGTGTTGTTCCTGTTTACACTCATGACAAACAAAAAGACATTCCTACAAACTGCAACACTCATTGAAGATATCCTGGGAGTCAAAAAGGTTAGAGACGTGTTTCTTAAATTTATTTGTTTGACTTTCTCAGACCGGCGGAAGAAATACAGCTTTATATATGAGGAGATTGTGGAAATAATGCTTTGAACTAGCATCCTAGCTTCTTGTAGCTTGTTTGAAACTTGGCTGTTTAAATGGATCGTGTGTTCAAACGCGTTCCAGACACTTCATGTTTTGTGTTGCGAGCTGTGGGGAAACAGGGCATTTAGGGCAACAGCAAAACAGGGCAACTGCCCTTTTGAACCTGCACTTGAAGAGTTTGTCAGACTCATTACAGTCTTGTCATCACAGCTTAGTGTCCTGAAGGGCAAATAAAACATTAGAGATGTAACCATGGTAAAATAATGGATTAAATGTATTTCTGTGAGAGGGTTGGGTACTGTGACTTATTTTGTAGATAGAATTGAGGATGTTGTACTTGATGAGGTAAGAAGTTTAGTTTACCTGAATGTCAACCTTTTTGTCAAAAGTGGCTTCAGCATCTTTTTAATATTTTGAGATGAAAACCATTGCATGGAAAAAAAATGCCAGGACTCTTCTCTGAATTCTGTAAGCTTTAAAGAAAATACAGACAGAAGTGGAAACAAAATAATGAAAGCTCCTAATGCCTGAATGCAGTTAGTCTATTAAATATTTTAAAAGAAAATCCCCCTAAACCTACTTAAATGTAGAATCCATATGAAATCTTTAAAAGATGGATTTCTGTACTTCTTAAGCTGATAAATATAAGTGATGTCAGTTGTAAATTCACTGATGTTTTCAGACTCTTAGCTTGCTGCCTATTTAGCTCTCTGCTGCCCACATTGCAGTAGCACATGGACAGCTGAACCCCTCTGGCCATCTGCGCACCTCACTGTTTCCTGGCTGACCATTGCATGTGACTATGTTGCCTTCCCCAGGAAATGATACAGCTGGACGATATTCCCAATCTTTCGAGCCTTGTGTCAAGTTTTGACCAGCAGCAGCTTGCAAACTTCTGCAGGATCCTCGCAGTGACAATTTCCGAGCTTGACACAGGAAGCGATGACAAGCACACGCTTCTCGCCAAAAATGCACAGCAGAGAAAAAACTTGGGCCCTTCTCGTGCTGAAGTTAATCAAGGTAATTCAAATTACACTGGACAAATGCAGAAGAATCAAAACAGTCTGTAAACCTCCTCCTCCCAACCTCCCATCTGTGGGAAGTGTTTCTGGAGGATGCAGCAAGCGTTTTGCCTTATGATGCATGTGCCTTCATTCACTTCTCTTGAACAATTTGCTAGAAACTGTTTTCCTGCTAATGAAGATTACTTTGTAGCCTTCAGTTTCATAACCTGTCAGTACTGAACTCAGACTGCATGCAGCATGGGTATTGTCCAGGCAATTCCTTCTGTGACTTTTATCTGGCATTGTCATGAGCAGGATGTCTGCCTTTATCAGCAAGGAGGAATGTTTAATGTTAGTCATATTGCCTACCATTGCTGCATCAGTGTATGGAAGTCAGTCATTTTTTACATCTTGTTGACTGGAGGGTTAGCCTTGGAGATCTGTTAGTCTCATCTAAAATTTATCGCACAGCTTATTCTGCACGGTGCAGATTTTATTATTTTACCAAGTTCTTGGATGGGATAGTCTGAAGTTTGTATCATCAAAGGTAGAATCTGATGGTTTCAGCTTTTACAAAGCTCAAAGCCTTCTGAGCTTTGAATTCAAAGCAGAGTAGGAGCTTTGTTTTAGCATCTAGACATTTACATAAGCCAGGGTCAAACAATTTGAAATTTGAAGCTTTCTCATGCATCTTCTGACAATCATACTGCCTCATTCTGCATTAGTCGTGAACCATAAATCTCTATTTTTAACAAGTATCATCTGTAGATCATACAGTGAGAGATGGATAGCACAGTGCAGCAGGCAAACACTGATAAACTTTAAAACAGGGCTATATTGTTTTCACAAAAGCTTGCTTTTAAAGAGCCATGGAGTATGGAAGTGCAGGTACAAGGTTTAAATTAGCTGAACTGAACAAGCTTGGATCCTGCAGAACTGGACGTTGACAGGATCCGTCAACAAACATTGAATCATTTTTTGTTTGCACAATCAGAGACTGTATCTAAGGCTATAAAGCATACTGCGTTTCAAAAGCTTCAGCAGGTTGCATCTGCTAATTGAGATGATACCAGTGGCAGAATTGCAAGTGTTTTGCATAGTGTTCCTGGCTAAATTCTTTGTCCCTTCACTGTATGCACATGAATCCCTAAGAAACAGCTCTAGTAATGAAGTCTGTTCCATGGAAACTTTAGGAGAAATTGTAGCTCCTAGTGCCTTAACTCCCAAGATTTTGTAGACTAGTGACCTTTGTCCTTGAACTACTGTGTCTTAGTGTGCAGTTCCACCACATTTAAAGCCTTCCAACTTGGAGCTGCTGTGATCTCTTCCTCAGTTGTTTATCTCTGTGATGAACTAGTTAAGGAAACTAATACTTACCTCTGTGATGAACTAGTTAAGGAAACTAATACTTACCTCTATGATGAACTAGTTAAGGAAACTAATACCTACCTCTGTGATGAACTAGTTAAGGAAACTACTACTTAAATGAAGCTAACAGCTTTTGGCCCCATTACTGAAGTGACAGGGAGAGATTGAGCAGCCCCTTTCAAGGTTAGCTGCTGCTTCTACCAGCCTAATTTTCAGCCTGATGGGCTCCTTGATCTGACTCACTGTGGGCTGGAAAACAACAGGCACAGTAGGATAGGACTTATTTTGTTCCAACGTCGACCCAACGTTGACCAGTTTTGTGTTGACTCAATAAAGCCTGTAGCTTATGCACTGTGCTCCTGTCCTTGCTGGGGCGAGTGGACTGACTTCTTCATTCTCTGGATCTTTTAAACCAGAAGGAAACTGTTCCTATGTCCTGTTCTGTGGAATTGATATGGAGATTTTTTGAACATTGTAGTATAGGAGATTTGATGACTGTTATGTTGGTGATCTTATGTCAGAATAAATCTCTTCTTCTTTTTCAGCTACACTTCTGAATATTCCAGGGTTCATTGAGCGATTATGCAAACTGGCAACACGAAAGGTGTCTGAAACCACAGGTACTTCCAGCTTCCTGCAGGAGTTAGAAGAGTGGTACACCTGGCTGGACAATGCCCTTGTACTCGATGCGCTGATGAGAGTGGCAAACGAAGAGGCAGAGCAGAGCAGCACAGGTATCTGGCTTCCGTTCTGTCAGCCACCACTAGCTAATCCCTGTTTTACTTCTTCAGTATGTTTTACTTTTCCTTCCTTCACTTCTTGATCCCTGTTCTTGCCCAGAAGGTTGACATAGCAGCCTTTAGGCGTGACTCCTGTTTTGTATTTTCTATACACTGATTAATTTTCATGAGCTGACGGTAACAAAAAGGGGGGAAAAAGGCTCAGGGCAACCATGATCTTTTCACACCTCAATAGCACAGTAATGCTCTACATCCTCAGAACTAATCTTCCTGGGGCTTGTGTAGTAAGTTACTTTTCCAGCATATTTCTCTAAAACTTAAGGTGTTGGGATTAGTTTCTTATACTTCATGCCAAACAAGCGGTTCCTTTAAAAAGGAAGGTGGTTACAAAAAAAAGTTAATTGGGAAAAATATATTGTTCCCCAGAAGCGTATGGAAATGTTGATCCAGACATAGAAAGATGCTTTGAACTGAGCAGCCGATTTATTTCTTTGCCCACCAGCACTACAAAGATGGGATGTTGGCCTTATTTCACCCAAAATACTCTGCAATGGAATGAGAATTACCGCAGCATTTTGAAATGTAAATCTCTGCTTCTGTGCTTTTTTAGAAAGCATTCTTGTTATCCAGCTTTCTCAATTGTATAGCAGTTAATTAGCAAAAGGTAGTAGAAACTGGACAACATTTAAATATTTAAAAAAAACATGTTTTGAAACAGAAATCACAAGATTCTCTCTCTGAGGTGGAACGTGGTTGACCACCACTCTTAACCACAGCATCAGTTACCAGGCAAACGTACGGATAGACTGTATGTGTTTCTGATAATCCCACCTCTGTTTTATTACCTTTTCTGCCATGCCCTTTCTTGTACCATAGTCTTTATTATTTTTGGATAATCCTACTTATTTCATGCAGGAGATGGCATGTAGCTTTTTGTGGAGAAATGAATTAGTTGCATTTTATCTAATCTAAGCTGTTTTTCCTCTTCTCTTGCATCTAACTTAAAATATTTTATTTTGTTGTTGTTATATACTACTAATTTTTGTTGAGAAGAAGATGTAAGCAGATAACTCCAGGCCTATATCTGCACTGTTTGAATGTAAAAGTAGCTGTAACAAATCCTTTCCTGTTGAAACTCTGGCTCACATCTTTGCCCTCTCGTTCAGAGTCTTCAGACGAGAGTGGATTGGCCAACACCTCAACACGCACCCAGCTTCCACAGTCCATGAAGATCATGCACGAGATTATGTATAAGCTGGAAGTGTTGTATGTTCTCTGCGTGTTGCTCATGGGGAGGCAAAGAAATCAGGTGAGCACTTTATGAGTGATCACACATGCATAAACTGATGTCTTTTTAAACCTGGGTGCTCGTTAATTAGGTCATAGATGCAGGAACATGAAGAGCGAAGCTCAAGGCATAAAGCTGGATAAATCCCATCGTATGCAGCAAACAGACAAGGAGTGTTTTGTTCCCGAAAACCAGAACGAGCTCTGGGGTCAGGCTTGTCCCAGGCTGTGCTTAGCAGCGTGGGGGTGGCGTTCAGTCCTTGCAGAGCTGCCTCTCTAGTGCGAGATGGCTGCAGAATAACAAAGAGCAGGCCTAGATCTGGTGCATGTGTTAAAGCAGCCGGGATCTGCCCTGATCTGCAGCAGCAAGTGCCAGGAACGGCTCAACCAGGGAGCATCCTCTGCCTGGATGTGAATGTACCCGGGAGGCTACCGGAGCTGCCTGCTGAGCATCCGTGCACTGGTGACTCTGGGCAGGGAATGCTCAAGACATAATTGTAGCTACCAGAACACAGGTCTGTTAAGAGGACTGTGATTTTGCTTTGTATCGAGTCAGATAATTCATCCCTGCCTAATTTTACCAAAAGAAGGCAGTTTTACAGCTGCTGCAGAAACGGCTGCCAGCCTGCACTTGTGCTGCTGCTGCCTATTTAGGAAGCTGGCAAGAGAACCGTGGTATCTCTGTGGCTCAGTTCGAGTGTATTATCATTAGATGTGACATAGTAGCAATTATGCTATAGAAATAGCTAGTTTTGAAGCTATTTAAAGCTGAAACTTTTATTTGCTAGGAAGAAAACTCCTTGTTCTTCCTCTGCTATTCCTGTCCCTATGCAAATAGGGGAACTGGTTGTCATAGGGTAAAGCTGGCAGGCAGGGAGCTTTCCTTCTGGAGCTAATTTGGGACTGGAAGTGCATTTTACAAGATTTAAGTCCAACCACTGTGTTTCAAGAGTCAACTCCTTTGTGAAGAGCACTGCCTTTGTTTGAAACCCATGATATATCCAACATTACTTAATCTACATAGAGCTGTCAAGAAATAGTTTGATGGATGTAAATCATGCCGCTTCTTGAGAGAAAGTCAGGTTAAGAATTCCCAACTGGGCTGTTCTGTTATTCAGAAATAAATAGCTTTACGTGGAAAGTTCCCATAAGCAGGAAAGAGCAGTAGTGTCTACGTTAGTACTCTAACTAGCAAGCGTTTCAGCCACATGATGGTATCTCTAGCCCCTGAGGAGCTAAAAGTGCTGGTTCTGACATCAGCCTTCCAGGCTGGATAGCCAAAGGTCGTACAAATTTGATATTGGAATGATTTTTAATATTTTCCAGCAGGTCGAGGGGGGTGATCGTCCCCCTACACACAGCCCTGGTGAGGCCACATGTGGAGACTGTGTCCAGTTCTGGGCTGCCCAGGACAAGAGGGATGTGGAGCTGCTGGAGAGAGTCCAGCGCAGGGCTACCAGGATGATCCGGGGCCTGGAACATCTGCCCTATGAGCAAAGGCTGAGGGAGCTGGGTCTGTTCAGCCTGGAGAAGAGGAGGCTGAGGGGGGACCTGATCAGTGTCTGTAAATACCTCAAGGGAGGCAGTGAGGAGGAGGGGGCGGCCTCTTTTCAGTGGTGGCCAGCGACAGGACTAGAGGAGACGGCCACAAGCTGAAGCACCAAAAGTTCCACAGGAGCTTAAAAAATTTCTTAGCAGTGAGGGTGCCAGAGCCCTGGCACAGGCTGCCCAGAGAGGTTGTGGAGTCTCCTTCTCTGGAAATCTTCCAAACCTGCTTGGACACAGCCCTGTGCCACGTGCTCTAGGTGACCCTGCATGTGCAGTGGGGTTGGACTAGATGACCTCTGGAGGTCCCTTCCAACCTTAAGAATTCTACGAAAACATCTAAGGACGTCCCGGTCCACCGTCTCATGATGAACAACGTAATGGTCTGGCACATGCTTAAGCCATGATGCCTCTTCTTTGCAAAACTGAATATTTACTCCGAATCCTTTGTTTAAACTTGACTGCTGGCCAGCTCTCGCAGATTGAAAACAGTGTTAGCAGTGACTCAGTTCCTACCTGCTGCCACGTTGCGGCTGAGCTCACTCCTGGGGACAAATGATGTTTCACCACCAATCTTTGCCTTTGCTTCTCTCATCATGGTCCCACCTCAAACTGCTCCTCTCATATACATATTTTTCCAGGCTGACTTATATTTCCGTGTTGTGCTGGAGGGCAGCTGTAGTTGCTCCTGCTGTAGGGAGCCAAGCTGCACGCAGTAGAAGAATGTGGAATGGCTCTGGTAGTGAGAAGGCAGCAGAGCAGCTGCTGTGAAGCTGGGCAGCAACAGGGAAAAGTCAAAGGTGTTTGAAGGACTGTGGGAATGAGTTGGGAGACTGGAAGGATCCAGTGCCTTGACTGACCCAGAAATTCTGTCATTCCTTGGTGAGATGCAAACTTTGCATTCAATAATAACGCTGGGCTGAATGCATTTCAAATTAGAGATGTATTTGGGCCAGGCTATGTTCTGTCTGTACAACAGGTATCCAAGTTAATATAAGGAGCATGGAGAGCTGTGCTCACAGGCAGACTTCACCCCCAGAGCCCCAAGAGCGATTTCTGTCGGAGGTTTGTGGGTTGGAGGATCCCAGAGCCTCCTCAAGGAAGGGAGCCCAGAAGTCTCCGAGTTCCGCAGTCTGCCAGGGTGGCACGAGGAAGGTGGAGGGAGCTGCCCCAAACTTGCTGCTCGGGGAGCTGCCCCGCAGCAGGAGGGTGATTGCATGGGTGGGAAGTTAGTGGCTGCAGCTGAGAGAATTTCAAAACCCTACCAGCTACGCTGCTGAAAGGGTAAAACTTAAACTAGAAAATAGGGTGGCTTAAACACTTCCAGTTAGCTCAAGCATTTGACGAAATGGAGCAAAATGCAAGGCTCAGCTTAAAATGCCATTAGTTAGTTCACTGCAGGGGTGGTCTAGGTGAATATTTAGGTGACCTTTTTAGGTGCATTATTCCTGTTGCTACTTTTGGCACTTCTTTTATTATTTTTATGTGTGTGTGTGTGTGTGTGTATATATATATATTTTTTTTTTTTTTTAAACGAATATTGACTACAACCCATTACTTCCACACTGAGCAGACTGCTCCAGTGGCTTGTTTACTGAATCCCAAGGGAGCCTGTCAGTGCAGGGACAAAGCCTGTGGTTGTGCTTTGCCAGTCGTGCATGATTTTCAATTCTGACCCCGCTCAAGGGCTGCTGCTGGTCGCAGGGCTCCAGCTAGTGAGGGTCTGGGTCTCCGTCTGTACTTCTCCTCCTTGCCTTTCAGATTACCTGCATCAATAGGAGCCGTGCTTGGACTGAAGGCATTTAATGGGAATTCACACCAAAAGCATTGCATATTTTACCTGAGCAACCAGCCTATTTCAAACATGTCAGTGTTCTGCATCATTGCCTTGGTGGGCAGACTGATAGACCAGAGTCTTTTAGCCTTTTCTTTGCTTGTCATATTCCAGAGAGGTTTGATTTTCTATTAATCCGTAGAAGCGGCGACTCAACCCTAGTTTTACTGTTAGTGCTGAACTGCCCTCGGTCACTTGAACAAAAATGCTCTTGATATTTTACATTGTCATCAAAGGGCTACCTCAGCATTAGCTGGGGAGACAGAGCCTGCTCTGTAGATGCCTGGCAGCAGAGTGCTCCTAGTTCAGCTTTCGTGATGCACAGAAACATGGGTGCAGAAGTATAGGTGTGTTTTCAAACACATTTTCCTAATATCCCAAAGCACTTCCTGAGGCACAGCGGTTAACTTAAGTGTTGGCTAACAGCTTCCTACAAAAAAAGAGTCTGTTTTCTCTCCATGACCACCAAATGGAAACTATTCTAATGATACACTATGCTTAGTATGCCTGCTAACATAAACACATGCTGTTTGATAAAGGATTTACTTTTTCCGCTGTCAGAAAATTGAATAATTCTGCCCATCTGTTTACCAGACTCTGTTATATCCATATTTGAGGCTACAACAAATGAGGACTTTTTTTCTTTCCTAGGTTCATAAGATGATAGCAGAGTTCAAGCTGATTCCCGGCCTCAATAATTTGTTTGACAAACTGATCTGGAGGAAGCATTCGGCATCTGCCCTGGTTCTGCATGGACATAATCAAAATTGTGACTGTAGCCCAGTGAGTAACTTTATGAACGCTGTATCGAATCTTGATATCATTTATAATGCACATCTGGATTGTAAATACAGTGAGATGTGGTAGGATCCAGTGTTTTGTTTTATGCTGCGATTGTTTTCACCAAAATCTTTACGTTTGGTTCCTTCTTGTTTGTGGGAAAATTAGCCTTTTTTTGTCTCTCAAAATTTGGAACTAGGAAAGAGGCTATTTCTGTAATTCCTGAAGACCAAAAAGAAGGGAAGACCAGAACTTAAAAAAATGGTAGGTAAGAGGTCAGCAAAGACGGACAAAGAAAAAAGATTACAATCAATTTTTTCAGACTTAGATATAAAACATTATTCTAAACTGATCAGTGTAGGGATGAGCATTTTGCCTTTGCAGTGATAAGTCATTTATTGACTATCACATGTGTAGGTTTGCATGGGGGCTCCAGTCCAGTTCTGTTCATGGAAGCCTGCAAAGCGCAGCCTTCTGTATCTATGCAAGTCACTTGCTCTGCTGTGTGAATGGGTTTGATTTGGAGAGATCTCCAGTTCAACCACTACGTAATATCTGCTAGCTAAGTGAAGAGGTCCAGAAACTCTGAAGTAATTTTCAATCTCTTCTCTCCATTTTTTAGGACATCACTTTAAAAATACAGTTCCTGAGGCTCCTTCAGAGCTTTAGTGATCATCACGAGTGAGTATAAAAAACTGGGTGGGTTGTGGCTCAGCAGTGTTGTTTGCCCAGCTCAGTGGTGTCCTAGGCACCGCGCAGGCTCTGTGTGAATGGAAAGTTGTCCTGCCCTTGAAACTCTTCTCAGATGTTCACATGCCCTTGAGCTTTTGCTATGAATAGACTCAGGATATATTCACCAGTGAGCGTTTTTAAGTGTGCTTTTTGGTGCTAAACTAGCCCATTTCGCCTCCTCTTGAAATGAATTGAAGCTTTCATGTGATAGTTAACACTTTTTGGCTGAAGAGAGAAGGAAGTGGCTTTCATGATGCTGTTCATCTTCTCTGTTCGTTGAGAAGTGCTTGTGAGGTGAGATGTTCATGGGATGACTTTCCCAGAATGGTTGAGGTTGGAAAGGACCTCTAGAGATCCAACCCCCTGCTCCAGCTCGGACACTTTTCCTGCTGTGTGAATGCTGAGGTTTAATTCAAAGTGTCACCAACATAAAGAGGCTTTTGGAAGAAGATCAGGGGAAATGCAGTGTATCTGCAGAAGTAGCAATTTTCTTTTGCCCTTGCACAAAGGAGACTGGGAAGAGCGACTGCTACTTAAATGCCATCAATGGAGAAGGCCCAATTTAGCTCAATAAAATGTTCAACAGTTACCTGTAACTCATCAATAGGCAGTTAGAACCTGCAAGATTTCTGTTTCCCCTGAGGTTTGATTCTTCTGTAGTCACTAGAGGATTATGCAGTGTTGTGGAAGAGTTGTTTGTTCCTGAGCTTTTTCCCAAGTTCTCATACAGTTACACTCATTGGCTCTAGTCTTACTTGCAGAATCACATCTTCCGTTGTGTCAATGTTGTGCCACCCTAATGTGACCCTGCAAGTCCTTATAAATCTCATTTCAGGAATATTACACTAAATAACATATTACCCCTCTTGATGCCTTCACTTAATTAGCTTGTGTTATTTACAACCCTTATTTACAGGGCTGATAATTCTGTGTAGGTTTTATCTAGTACTATTAAAATTCTTGGATCTTCTCTTAAAAGTAGCAGAAGGTTTAATTGGAGGGGAGGAAAAACCTTAAGTATGGGGAAGTGCTGGATAAAACATGAAGGGAAGACTGACGTATTGCAGTTCCTTTTTGCAGGACATTGCTTGTCCAGAAATCGCTTCAGGTTTTCCAATAGAATCTCCTAAGATACTATTCATATTTAAGCAACTCCTAAAAATATTTCAGGCTTATTTAAACAAAACAGAGCTTTTGCTTGCAACATCTGAGCTAAGGAAGGTGTGGAATCTATCTAGTGGAATCTGTTATTGCATAAACTCTGCAAAGTCACAGATCTGTTGAAGGAGCTGAGGGCAGGATGAAAACAAGTCCTTGTATTTTAATACTGCCATCAGTGAAATGATGAGTAAATCCAGAAACTGCAGAACTCTGTGCGTGTGGAGAGGGGTCATATTTTCATTACAGAAACCTGTTGATGCAGAACAAAAGAAGCTTCACGTGACAGCCTCGGTGAGCACTAATCTGGAACATAGTGTTTGAAGCAAGAAGGCATGTGAAGGAAGCTTCCCTTCCCCATCACCTTTCTGATCCCATAGTTTCTATGTAGTTACTGTATTTTCATGAGCAGGTTCTCTTCCCACACCCAGGTATCTCATCGTTCTTTATGGTTTCCTGAAAATAACTTCTGGCTCTCTGGTTCTAAGCAGGTTGAAATCAGAGGGCTCTTGGGAGCGTGTTGGAATTAAAGGGGGAATTGTGGTAAAAGGAGACTCTGGAGTACACTTCTCTGTCTGTCCTGCTCTGAACTCTGGGGGGTTCTTCTATAGATAATCCACTTGAATTTCATTATGAGTATATATATATGTTTAATAAGGCATTTTAGTAGATTTGTTTATATATCTGTGGTTTTTTTTATATCCATTACTGTTTGCTTTTCTGCATTTCTTGAAGTCATTAAATATTTTCAGAGTAACTAGTTCTATCAGAATAATAAAATACAAAGATTATTTTGTTTGTTTTGATCCAGTAAATAGTATAGTCACTTTATGGCAGAGGGAAAGCTGGAAGCTGTGGAGGAGTGTGCTGTTTAAGTCTGTTGAAATGTAGCAAAATATTGCGGAGGTTTGTAAAACTGGAAGCAAATATTTGCAAAACAAACGCTGGGATCCTGACCAGATCATCAAAGGCGTAGATATCATGAAGCTGGTTAGTGTTGAGATTTGCATTGGGCAAATCTCAGAGGAGGCTTCCAGAACTGCAGCTAGCTTGGTGCTTAGTGCTATTACTCTTGGTGGCAATGCACGTCTGTCTGTGTGTGTTTAATTCTCTCCCTTGTGTCTTTTCCCCTTATTCCCCACCTATCTCGCTTTAGGAACAAGTACCTGCTTTTAAACAGCCAAGAACTCAACGAGCTGAGTGCAATCTCCCATAAAGCCAACATCCCAGAGGTTGATGCAGTCATTAACACAGACAGGTAAGTAGGGGCAGAGGTTCTAGGCCATCAAATTTGAGCATTTTGGAAGCCCTTACACTGCAGCTACGATGTCACCTGCTTAGTCTGGCGGCCTGCAAAGCACCACACTCACTCCCTGCTGAAACCTATCACTGAATCTCAAGCATCTCGATGTGTTCATGGTTGTTAGCAGCTTGATAGTGTGCTTGAACTCTGAGTAAAGCCCTTTAAAAACAAATGCAACCCAACATGGAGATTTGGAGTTATGACTTCCATAGGATGTTTTAAGTCTGCCCATTTGGCCTGTCTCATTCTTGGCTTTGCTGGATCCCTCTTATGCATGAATTGCTGCTACTAATAAATACTAGGCTTGAGATTCAGGAGCAGTCAGTGCACGTGAATGTGTAATTCCAGTCTGCATAAACAGATTTAGGAGTCTGCTCGAAGCTTTTATTTTAAGAGCAGCTAATAACTGGAATAAGCTAAATTAGATTAACATGTTAAACCACTTAGCCAAGTGAAATGCTGGGAATTCTCTATCTGTTGGGTTGACTTCGTAGATTTGGTTTTAATATACAGCTCTGATGGGAAAACCTTCCAAACCTCACAAAACCCTCAGATTTTCAGAATTTAGTGGTCAGAATTCTTCAGCAGGGACCTGGATTGCACAAAGCAGATTTATCTTGCCTCAAAAGCGAGTTCTGTAAGAGGATTCCTAGATTATAATTATTATCATCATAATCTGCCTGACTGGTAAGAAATTGTATCAGTGTTGCTCAGAGGACCTCCTCCTAAGCACAGGAACCTTTCAGTTTTTGTTCACAAAGGAGTAAATATTTGGCGAGGGGAAGAAATTTGACCTGAGTGCCCGGAAAGGAAGGGAACAAGGATGGAAACAGCTTTTTGCATCCTGCAGAGGTTCTCAGTTTTCTTACACCTTAGGTAAAAGACAGTCTTGCTGAAAGCACCCACCTTCCTCAAGGGCTTGCTCAGCTGGTTATTGACTGCTCATTAGAGGTGTTGATGCAATCTAAAGGCAAGAACCTGGGTCAGTCAGCTGAACTACACGTGCTTTTTGTCCTTGGGGTAGAGAAGTGCCACTCTGGAGCATCTTACCCTGCCTCTGCAGAGTGGCTTGTAGCCAGGCAGGCAGCATCACTCAGCTTCTGGCACAAACTCAGTTTCATTTCCAACCTTATTTGCACATGAGATTTTGGCACATGAGACATGAGATTTCTCATGGGACATGAGATTAAGGCAGGGCCATGAGATTAAGGCAGGGCTTCTGCATGTGATTAGGGTGGTTACTGAGGTGCTATTATATACATGCTATATCCCAGCCCTAGGACCTGTCTAAATTTGTTGGTGCAGAGCACTGGATTCACTGTTCTGCAGAGTAAAACACTTGTCAGCCTCTCATACTGTAACTTTTTTTTTGCATGTTTTAGGAGTCTTGTCTGTGATGGGAAAAGAGGTTTGTTAACCAGACTGCTTCAGGTCATGAAGAAGGAGCCAGCTGAATCCTCCTTCAGGTGGGCTTTGCTTGCTCTTCAGTGTATTGTTTTGAGGGGGCTGGAAAAGCAGTTTTCACATCTTGCAGCAGCTGAAAATGCTTAAAATAATGTGCAAAAAGATTTTTGTTGCATTTGGTTGCAATGACACGGTGCAGGTAAGAGAGAAGGCCAAAGCCTGTGTTGGACCTTTTATCCAATAAAACTGCCTGCATTCTGTGGGATTAACACATCTCTCTCCAGCTTCGCATTGGAATGAAGTTGATGAGGGAACTTAGTTTAAGTTCTGATTGTGATTATGTTTTCCTCCTTTCTCCATTATTAAAACTAAACGCACATTTCTGTATCTCAGGTTTTGGCAAGCGAGGGCTGTTGAAAGCTTCCTGCGAGGCACCACCTCCTATGCAGACCAGATGTTCCTCCTGAAGAGAGGGCTCCTGGAGGTAAGAAACGCCATTGAATTCAATCTGTAGCATATCTCCATAGCAAACAAGAAGGGTTTTTAAATGTAGAAATCAGGGAAAAAATGGCATGGCTAAATAATCCCTATAATAGCAGAGCAATTTTTGTAATGTTTAAAGTGTCTATGAATTTTGCTTGTGACAGCTAGGCATGGGCTGGCCCATTCGAGTAAATTAACTTTCTGCTGGTGCAGACTGTAGAAGACTCAGCTGAATGGTTGTCTGTTTGTTCTGCCATATAGAACTAAACCTGCAGATAAATGTTTGAAGCAGTGATTAACTCGAGCTTTGCTAGGCTGTGGCAGTGACGTGTTTTCTTCCACTGGCAGCATATTCTCTACTGCATCGTTGACAGCGAGTGCAAATCGCGGGACGTGCTGCAGAGTTACTTTGACCTTCTAGGGGAACTGATGAAATTCAATATCGATGCATTCAAGAGGTTCAACAAGTACATCAACACAGATGAGAAGGTAAATATTTGTAAAAGTTGTCCCCATCAGGTTGAATGGCACCCTTGTATAACCAGTTGTAGCAGTGGGAAACTCAGGTTTGTTGGTTACTTTGAGCGTGACAGTTGAGCTTAGGGCACAGTAAACCCAGAGCACTGACCCAGCTTCATAACTCCATCAGTTGCTGCCTTTCCCTGTGCATTCCCTGCCTGTGTTTTCCAAAGGGCTCCCAGCTGTTCTGAGTCAGCAAGTTCTGAGATGTCCCAAAAATCTTTTCCTGTTGGGTGATGGGGCAAAACCAAGGTCAGAGCTCAGAGACTGCAGAGCAGTTCTCATGATCTCACTGGCTTTTGCTTTGAAATGGTTGTTGTGGCCATAGATGCAGGACATCCAATATGTATTTCCACGGTCACTTGTAAAGAAAATTCTTAGGAAGACAAACCTTAATGAAGCTGACTTAAAATATTACCATTGGTTAATGCTAAAAGCTTTGCTTCGGTACTCTTTGAATTTAGAGGCATATTTAGAAAGTCATGGCTATCAGTTCATGGAAAGTCTATCCCCTGCACAACACAAAAGTTTTATTTTTAGATCAAGAATGGACAACTCTTAATGCATAAGTAGTTTTATGTTTTTATGCACTTCTGAGCCTGTAGTCTCAGCTAGTGTTTAGCTTTTGAATGGCCTTCTAGTCTTACGATACTTGGCAGCAAGTAGGAAGGTTTTTAAATCTGTCAGACTTTGGAGAATAGAAGCAGAGAAGTATTTTGAAGAAGGATGTATTTAATATCACATTGATCTCTAATAACTGAACTGACAGATTCTAGAGAATCTATTTCTGGAAAAAAATACATCGTATGTGTTCAGATGAAGTGTAGGAAAAGCCCAACAGCCCGTGCTTTTCTCTCCCTCTTTGAAAGCAAGCAGCCTGTGAAATCTTGGTCTCGTTGAAGTGACGGGGGCTGTAAAATCCTGGCATGGATGTTATCAGTGCCAGGCATCCTTCAGTCAGCCCTTGCTGCCAGGATTGGCTTGGCTTGCGTGAGGCAGATCAGGAGCACATGTCCCCTTTTATTTTCATTGGGGTTAAAGCAAGTTACTTAAGGGTTAGTGTATCTACTCCTTGCTCTTAGGCTGACCAGGCCTGTTCCACTCTGCTGTGAGCTCTTCTAGGGAGAGCGTGGCCTGACCAAGTGTTCAGGCTGAAACCACAACCACGGTTTTTGGCACTCAGAACCTCTCTTTTTGTCCTTGTTTCTGAAGTGATGGGGCAGTTGTCTGCATTTGTGAAGCCTTATTTTACAGATAGGGGCCTGTGAGATGGTTTCTCCTACCCGTAACCTTTAAGAACAGTCCTCTTCCAGTGCTGAAAGCTCAGTTCTGGAGTGCTGCTGTTGCCCTTTTCACCCAGCTTTATTTGTTGCACCACCTGGTAGCCTGTTCCCTTTGTGCCAAGAGAGAGTTGAGTTTAGTTTATGCACTTTTTGGTCAAAACACACTCCTAAAAGCGTGCGAAATGCTTTTCTGTCAGGCTGCTTCTCTTAGTGCTCGTGGAGGACTCTTGTGGGGCAAATGCAACACTAAAAGAAGTCTTTCTCTTTAGTTCCAGACATTTTTGAATCAGATCAACAGTTCATTGGTCGACTCAAACATGTTGGTTCGCTGCATTACGTTGTCCCTGGACCGATTTGAGAATCAGTCTGATGCTAAAGGTAAAGAATAAGGACTGTTGGCTTCAGTGGTGACAGCGTTGGTTTTAAGCCTGGGCTTTGAAAATGCTGGTTGGAGACCGAGAAATACCCCCTGTATAATCAGTGTTTCTGAACTGTAATAACGTGATGATTTTCTTTCTCCCCTTGCTGCAGTTGCAGAAGTCCTGTCCGAATGCCGCCTGCTGTCGTACATGTCCCAGATGTCCATGAGAATGTCCTTTCTCTTCCGTCTCATTAATATTATTCACGTACAGACGCTCACCCAGGTAAGGAGCTGACAGTAATTTCACTGGTTCCTGGCTGATACCGTGTGCTGGGCTGGGAGCAGGGAGGAATCTGGCTTCTCCTCAAGAGGCCCACGGCGCTTTTCTGTCTTTTTCAAGAACTTTTCAAGTCTTTTTCAAGTCCTTTTCAAGAACTTCCCCTGCATTCTTTCATCTCTAAGGTTAAATCTCATTGTTTTTTGACCTACCATGTTATTTTTACTTTTAGGAAAATGTCAGTTGTTTGAACACGAGTCTAGTTATCTTAATGCTGGCCCGAAGGAAAGAAAAGCTTCCTTTTTATCTGCGCACTTTGCAACAGATGGAATACACCGAGAAATACCCAGGCTTCATCCTGAACAACTTCCACAGTCTCCTGCGATTCTGGCAACAGCATTACCTCAACAAGGACAAAGACAGCACCTGCTTAGAAAATGTATGTGAACCTCTTAAACACAGTAAGAGAAATCAAAGCTGTCTGTGTACTGTAATTTTCTCAAGTGCTTTTCACACCGTTTCAGCAGTCAGGTCTGCATGAAGTAGGTGTGAGGTCAGAGATGGAGGGTTGTCTTTTGGGGCAGCCTCTATAGAGTCGATTTTAAGGATCCCAAGCCAGGAGGCTTCTTGCTGCCTTCTGTGGGGCTGAGCTCCTGTGCCTGCTGCCCCCTCAGCCAGCAGCTGCCTGACACCTCCTCCTCCTGCCAGGACAGAGCCCTTGGGCTTACAGCACTGCTGTGCAGTGGCCCATCTGTTTGGAGCTATTGTGAGGTAGATTTCTGTTCTACATCTCAGCATCAATTCCTCCCTAAGCCTGCTTTTCCTGAGGATGCGTCTGGCTGTATTTAATTCTTCCCAGTTATTCAAGCCGTGCATCAGGTGCCTGCTGGAGGAGCACACAGGTGACTGGTGGCTGCAGGGGGGCCTGCACCGCAGCATCCTGCTCCAGGGTCTGTTTGCTTGGGATGTGCTGCCTCCTGGGGAGCTTGCTCTGCTGCCCCTTTGCCTCCAGTGTCCTTTAATGCCACCTCTGATGCTGCCCTGCTAGCAGGATGGATGTGCTGGAGGTTGCAGTGGAAATTATGGCTCAGTGACCACTTCACCCCTGAGTGGAATGACCTTCATGGTGGATCAGAGGGTGGATCAGAGGAAGCTGGTCCGGATAGGGAGTGATTCCCAGCTTCCAGTGCCTGGGATGACTACACGTTGGTGCCTGCAGCCCCTGCTAACCGTCCTCTTCTCCCCCCACAGAGCTCATGTATTAGTTTTACCTACTGGAAAGAGACTGTGTCTATACTGCTCAGTGCGGACCGGACTTCCCCCTGTGCCATAGTTAGCTACATCGACGAGGCCTACATGGACATTGACAGAGACTTCTGCGAGGAGTGAGCGCCCACGCCGGCGGGGACAGCGCCGGGAGGGTGCCCAGGAGCCCGTGGAATTTCAGGGATACGCCGTGTCGTGCGCGCGCCGCTCGGAGCCGCCGGCGAAACCCCGGCCCCCTCCCTGGCCCCACTCATCTCCCACGGAGGAGCCCTGCAGAGCGCTCCGGGCAGCACATTCAGGGACGTGGCTGCCGTTTGTTCCGGGATAAAATAGTCACCTGCAAAAAAAGCACCCAAGCCTTCCCCCTTCCCACCCCCTCCAGTCAAAAGTGGCTGGTCCGAGTCCCTTTGGATGGCAAATGACAATATCCTGTATGGTGCCAATTTGGTTGGGGACCTTTTCTTTTTTTCCGGGCTCCCAGACTGAGCAAGTCAAAAAGCACAGAACTCGCCCTCCAAATGTGAGGTCCAAGGAGCCGCTCTGCCGGGACACCAGCCACATGCAGAGCCACCGCGAGGATCCTTCCAGGTTTAGCTCTTCTGTTGGGGGTTGGAATCGGGGGTCAGGGTTGGGTAGAGTGAGTGTGAGTGCGTGTGCTTGTAACTCCCGAGAGCCCCAGCTCCAGTGGCCTCTTGACCGCCTCCTTTCGGATCACTTGGTACTAAATCTGTTCAGCCTTTGTCTGTTTGTGCGTTAGGAGAGAGCCCCTGCTCCTGCTGTCCTTCCTGCAGAGCCCTCCTGGCGGGAGCTGTTTGTACAAAGCTGCGGAGAACGGAGACGTTTCGGCCGTGGTGGAACCGCCACAGGGGTTGGCTTTTTCCTGGAGCACTAGCATTAAAGCCTACTAATTTTTTAAAAACTTGCGGCTTGTCCCTTCTTGGGTAACTAATCTGGGTTTAAAATCCTTTTAGGGACCGTTGCTGAAATTGCTTTCCAAGAGCAAGTTGAGGACCCTTGCTCTTGATGCTAACCTGCTGTGCCTGGAAGGCTCCTGTCGGTCTCTGCTGTCAGTCCTTAATATCAACACACACACGTTAATCTCGAAGTGCAATATTTATTGGAGATGTCTGCGTTTCCCGCATTTGTCTTGAGCGGGATGTGTTAAAGGCTGGGACTAAACACTCCCCGTTGAAGGTAACGCTGTAGGATACCTTGGGAAAGGGGGGGAGCAGGTTTTGGCAGAGTCCCAGTTGTCAAAGCCGCCCTGCCTGCTCCCCAGTGTTAATTATGTTGCTCCAAGACAGTCACATTCCCAGGAATGAAATACAGTCCGAAAGCCTGAGCCACTGCCTTTAAGACCAAACTTACCCTCTTGAAGCTCCAGCTCCAAGAATCCCTTTTCCTTCCAAACAGGCACCCGAATTACTTCTTTTTACCTTACCTGACGAGGCATTTACCGTTCCTGCTCGCCGGGAGCTGCAGGTGGGGACTGGCGGTGAGGATGTCCCCAAGCTGCAGCCTCTTCTCCCTCGTCTTTACCAGCAGCAGGAAAGTCCCGCTGGGAAGCCCAGTGCCCAGGCCTGGCTTCCAGCGCCTAGTGCAGGATTTGCTCTCAAAGTCACCCTCTTCTCCTCCAGCTTTTCCTGCACTTCTGCATCCTGCTGTGGACTCACAGTCAGTACTTGGCTTGCGGGGTGGCCGGCGACTCCGAGCTCGTGGGTAACACGGAGCCTCCCAGGACCCCGGGAGCCTCCCTGCAGGGCCAGGGAGCCCTGGGGCAGCTGCAACTCTCTGTTCTTCATCAGGTCACCCCCCACCCTAACCCTCCTCCTCCTCCCTGGCTCATTTTTTTCTCTTCTGTATTTTTTCTTTTTTTTTTTTTTTTTCCTTTTTTTTCCCCCCTTGGGTATTTGTGCTTTTGGTGTATCTGCTTCTTAACTGTAATAGATGTACACTCAAAATAAATGCTTCAAATTAAAACCCTTGGTGCCAGGCGAGGGCTGCCTTTTCCCTTAGTCACTTGCTGCAGCCACCGAGTGCTGCCCTAAACCTGCAGCGGCGCTTTTGCATCCCACGTCCCTGCAGCCCCCACCTGGTCTTGGCCACTGAGCTGCAGTATTCCCAGCCTGGCTCAGGGGAGCGCAGGAATTGATGTGTTTTTGTGGATGTGGGATCCCCACGGGCTAGGGGCACCTTCAGGCTGGTGCAGAGGGTGAAGTTGCTTCCCTTGGAGCGCAGGGACAGGATGGGCTGCAGCCCATCCTGCTCCGGGAGCCTCTCTGGCCCCAGCGGCTGTTCCATGGATCTTTTCTGGAGAGGGAGGAGGTTGTTCCAGCTTCCTCCTGCTCTGTGTTAGGGAGGAAGGGCCCTGTGTGGGGCCGGTGCCTGCCCTGGCTGCGGTGGCAGATGGAGCAGTGGGGAAGGAGGCAGGAGCCGAGGCCAACACGGCTGCCTCCAGCTCTGCCCTGTCCCTGCGCCCCGCTGAGGTTCGTTGCTGCCCCCGTTAATGCCAATTTACTAACTGCAGACAAACGTAGTAAAAGGAAGCTTATTAAAGAAATCTACTTTAAAGAAGTAAGTGGAATGTCTTTTTTTGTAGGGCATTTTCCAAGGCTGCAGGAGGCTTCACTGGGGGCTGTTCTTAGGCTTCCCCGCCTCTCAGCGGATCTGGAGGGGGATCTGCCTGGTCCTTCCCCTTCACCCACCTCCCCTGATGGAAACAGAGTTTGGGAAGGAGGGACAACAAAGGCCCTGTCCCCAGGGCTGAACCAGGCTGCTGGTGCAGGCCTAGGAGCGAAGGGCTCTTGTCTGAGCTGGGCGCTGAGGTGCCCGGGGACCAGTTTGCCCTCTGCTGGCAACAGCTCTGAGTCTGATGCCCAACGGGACTGCTGCCCCTTTGCTATCCCGTAGGTTTCACCGATGGAGGTGAAGCCCTGCCCGTGCTCCTGCTCTGCCTCACCAGTTCTCCAGCGCACAGCACAGACACGAAGCAGCCGCGCGGGGCAGAGAGCTCCGTTTATTGACTCGGTGCCGAGCGGGCAGCGACTGTTGCAGCCTTTGGCCCCCAGACACCAGCAGGGATGATCCAGGCCGGGCTCCGTGGTCCTACTCCTCGTGCTGGCAAAAAACAGCAAGTGGGTGAGACACTGGGCCGGGAGGGAAGCGTGTCCCTGTCCTCCCATCCCTGTCCTCGTGCCCGGCCGGTCTCGGCCCTGGGCCTCACCTTGGAGGTGATGACCTCCCGGGTGCGGGCGCGCAGCTTGTTGACCTGCGTCTCGGCGATGTCGGCCCGCTCCTCGGCGTCGTCCAGCTCGTGCTGCACCTTGCGGTACTTGACCAGGTTGGAGTTGGCCTGTTGCTCCTGCGGTGGGGCGAGCACCACAAAAACCAGCGTGACGGGAGAGACGGGCACCTGGCTTGCGAGTTCCCCACCCTGGCCCCTCTCCCCTTTAGCTCACCCCACCGGGCAGGGGCCGGGACCCATTCGAGTGCCCCCCCAGCAGCCCCGGGGGAAGGTGGGCAGCACTTACCGCCTCCTCAAACTGGCGCTTGTAGCTCTTGACCTTGCTCTGCAGCTTGTCAATCAGGTCCTGCATCCGGGTCAGGTTCTTCCTGTCTTCCTCAGCCTGCAAGAGCCCCCAGCCCAGTTAGCCGGAGCCCTGGACACTGGTGCAAGACCCTCTTCTCCTGCTCGTCCTCCTGCCCCTTCTCCTCTATCCCAGTGGTGCCATGGTCCTCCGTGCCCAGGCAGCTCCTTCCCACCCCCTGCCCCGTGTCCCCTGGCTCCCTCGTGGCCTCGCAGCTCCTGGTTGGGGTGCTGCCCCTAAAGGGACACAGGTGCCGGCTGAGGCGGGCGCTGCAGCGCTGTACCTGGTAGCTCAGCTCCTTGATCCTCCGCTCGTACTTGCGGATGCCCTTCTGCGCTTCGGCCATCTTCTTCTGCTCCATGTCCAGCTCGCCCTCCAGCTCACGCACCTGCGTGGGGACAGAGGCCGAGTCAGCTCTTACCGTCCCCGACAGCACGGCCTGGCCCAGCGCCCACCCCCAAGTGCTCAGGGCCTGGGTTTCACTGCAGGGAATGAGCCCCCATGCCCTACAAAACTGGTTGTCACCACCTCGGTGTGCTCCTAGGCTGGAGAACACGGGAGCTGGGGCCGTGCTCGTGGGTGGCTGTGGGCTGCCCTGGCTGCCTCACCCTCGCCTCCAGCTTCTGGATCTGCTTCTTGCCCCCCTTGAGGGCGATCTGCTCCGCTTCATCCAGGCGCATCTGCAGGTCCTTGATGGTCTGCTCCATGTTCTTCTTCATCCGCTCCAAGTGTGCGCTCGTGTCCTGCTCCTTCTTCAGCTCCTCTGCCATCATGGCAGCCTGCAGGGTTCAAGGACACACAGATGCCCCCATCAGGCCAGGCAGCCCTACCTGATCCAGAGGCCCCAGGAGGGGCTGCGAGAGCCTCCCCTCCGCTCCCGGGTGCCAGCCCCACAGGGTGCTGGGCACCCTTGCACGCTCTGCACCCTGCTCTTACGTCTGTGATGGCCTTCTTGGCCTTCTCCTCAGCATTGCGGCACTCCTGCACTGCGTCCTCCACCTCGCTGCTCAGCTGGGAGATGTCAGTCTCCAGCTTCTTCTTTTGGTTGATCAGGCCCGTGTTCTGCAGACAGAGAACAGGCAAGTGGCTCAGGGACCTTCTTCACCTTGGATGGTGGCCCCAATGCCAAGACAGGCTCCCAGGTGGCCTCTGCCCATCCATGCGCCAGGAGAGCCCCACGTTCCTGTTGTTCAACACAAGGCCCCTCACCTGTGAGTGGAGCAGGTTGACCCTTTCGGTGGCCTCCAACAGCTCCTGCTCTGCCAACTTCCTGCTCCTCTCCGCCTGCTCCAGGGCCGCCCGCAGCTCCTCCACCTCTGCCAGCAGCAGGTTGTTGCGTCGCTCCAGCGCGGCCGCCTGCTCCTTCAGGTCGTCGTTGTGGCGCTGGGTGTCGTCCAGCTCAATCTGCAGGTCCTGCCAGGCAGCGCGGGGGGAGTGAGGACAGGAAGGAGAAGGGGGGAGCCCCGAGCCAGGGCTGGCAGCTGGGGCAGCACCCAGTATTCCCACCCGTGGCCTCCAACCTTGATCTGGGCCTGAAGCTGGCGGCCCAGCTTCTGGAACTCGGCTGCCTGGCGGTTCGCGTGGCTCAGCTGGATCTCCATCTCGTTCAGGTCTCCCTCCATCTTCTTCCTCAGCCTGACAGCCTCGTTCTTGGCCCGAGCCTCAGCATCCAGCGTGGCCTGCATGGAGTCCATGGCGCGCTGGTGGTTTCGTCTGCAGGAGGCGAAGTGTGACAGTGTGTCAGTGGTGGGCCCAGGATGCCAGCACCAATTGTCCCATCATGGTGTGATGCCAGCTCTGCCCCTGCAGCGCCCAGGCTGTCTCCCCACCCCACTCACCTCAGGTTCTCAAACTCCTCGTCCTTCTCCGCCAGCTTCCTGTCCACGTCAGCCTTGATCTGGTTCAGCTCCAGCTGGATGCGCAGCGTCTTGCTCTCTTCATGCTCCAGAGCTCCCTAGGGAGAGCAGCACCCCTGGGTCAGGGCAGGCCCAGGGAGGCCGCCTTGGCCAACCCCTCCTAGCCCCATACCCCAGCCCAAAGCTGTGGGGAGCACAGGGTGTCAGGGCAGTCAAGAGCCCATCTCCGTGACCTGTTGGCCTTGTGCAACGCTCATGAGCGGGGCTCAAGAAGCCCCCAGGTGCTGGCTGGGGCCTGCCGCTCAGGGCAGTTGTGCTCTATGGGTCACCAGCCCCAAACCACCTCCCTGGAGTTGCATGGTAGATGGAGTTGCTGCCCTCAGGGCGCAGCAAGCACGGGTGGGAAACACGGACTCACCTCAGCCTCCTCCAGGGCTGCCTGTATGTCGCTCTTCTCGCTCTCCAGGGCCTTCTTCAGCTTCTCCAGCTCATGGATGGTTTTGCCACTCAGACTTATCTGGTCAGTCAGATCAGCAATTTCCTCTGGCAGGAGAAGAAGGGCACCAGGTCAGGGCTGGTTTGCAGGACCAGCCCTACATGGGCAACTTTCCCATCTCCCCACCAGCCCAGGCTGAGCCTGTGTCCTCCCTAGTTCACTGCAGAGCAGCCATCCAGACACTGGGGTTGTACTGGTAGACTGAACACCATTCCCCTTGTTGGCTCCTGCCGCATAAGGAGTCATGGAGATCCACTTCTCCAAAAGCTTGGTCCTACCTTGCAGGTTCTTGTTCTCCCTCTTGAGGGTCTCCAGGTTGTCCAGGGACTCCTCATAGGCATTCTTGAGCTTGAAGAGCTCAGTGCTCAGGCTCCGCGACTCCTTCTGTGATGCCTCCAGCTCTGCCTGCGTCTCCTCATACTTCTGCTTCCACTCAGCCAAGATCCTGTCAAAGTTGCGCTGCTTCTTGTCCAGGGCAGCGCAGGCCGAGTTGGCCCTCTCCAAGTCCACTGAGAGGTCCTCAATCTCTGTCTGCAGCCGGTGCTTGGTCTTCTCCAGCGAGGAGCACTTGGCGTGGGCAGCCTCCACTGCCTC